ATCAGTAATACTAAAAAGAGTTAAAAAACGTTTTGCATTTACATAGACAACTGTCAAAAGTTAAGCATTTGCAAACATTTACCAAGAAATTCCTTTATGTTATAACCAAAAAATTACGAGCATTAGTTGTTTAATTTGCTTTCTATCCTTTTTCAATTAATAGTATTGAAAAGAAACAGATTACACTTTCTGGCAAATATTTTCTCAAGTAGGCCATGCATTCCTCAAATCAACTGTCGTATAATGGTCAATTTCTAAAATTCACCAAAGTATACCAATATAACACATTATTTATATTTTAATAAAAATGACAGTCGACAGGTAATTCAAGAGCCGGGAATAAGGACCTTGCATTCATTTATTTCATTTAGGCAACTGTCAAAAATCAGGCGCTTTCTGTTTCTAAAATTAACCAAAACATACTGAACAATAACATCATAAAGATACAGATAGATTTTCTGTCAAATATTTTATCAAGTAGGCCATGTTACTCCCCAATCAACTGTAGTAAAATAAAAATAGACGTTTCCTAACATTCACTAGGTACCAAATCATATTTTATCAAGTAGGCCATGCAACTGTCGTAAAATAGGCGTTTTCTAACATTCACCACCAAATTATATTTCTTTATTTACGACTAATGTATAATGTGCGTATTATATTTGTGATTTTGGCAGTATAATGACATATGTTATTCCTCCAGGGATTAATGACGAGTAGCGGGATTAATGGTCATTATTCCACAAAAGTGTCAGTGTCAAACGTGTAGTGCTTGTGGATTTGTATTGAAAATTATGAGACGGATGAAATTTGTTCATTGAAAATCTCAAATAAATTAATTTGTCGTAAATAAAGTAGAGTATACTACTTGCAATAATGGCTATTATTCCCTCGGAATGTTACTCCCATCATTATTGACTCGTGGTATAATCTACTAATATTCCCGGTTCTTGAAGTTGCTTGTCGACTGTGTGTTATGTAGATTTATATTGGAAAACAACCTGGATAAATTTGGAAATGGTATATGGTGGTTGATGTAAGGAAACGCCTATTTTATGACAAATGGGTGGGGAATTGCATTGGATGGCCTACTTGATGTATTTTGAAATGGTATGTCGGTATAGGATTTGGTGGTGAATGTTAGAAAACGCCTATTTTACGACAGTTGGTTGTGAAGTTGCATGGCCTACTTGATAAAACATGATTTGGTAGTGAATGTTAGGAATTGCTTATTTTATGACAGATGATTGTAAAGGTGCGTGGCCTACTTAGGAAATGTCTATTTTACGACAAGTGGTTAGCAAGTTGCAAAACTTGATAAAATATTTGACAGAAAGTCTGTCTATCTATTTTAATGTCATAGTTCAGTATGTTTTGGTTAATTTTAGAAACAGAAACCGCCTAACTTTTGACAGTTGTCCAAATAAAATAAATGAATACAAGGCCCTTATTCTCGGTTCTTGAATTACCTGTCGACTGTCATTTTTATCAAAATGTAAATAATGTGTTATATTGGTATACTTTGGTGAATTTTAGGAAATGACCATTATACGACAGTAGATTTGTTAAAAAAAATTATAATCTGTCTCTTTTGAATACTATTAATTGAAAAAGGATGGAAAGCAAATAAGACAATCATTGCTTGTAATTTTTCTGTTACATTAGGTAATTTTTGCGACATAATTTCTTCAAAGAATCAAAATGTTATTGGGTAATCTTAAAATTACTCAACATAATCGAACATAACCTTCAAAAAAAAATTATGTCGCGAAAAATAGCCTAACAATGGAATTTGTTGGTGAGTGTTTGCAAGCGCCTAACTTTTGACAACTGTCTGCATAAATGCATGGCCTACTTAGTCCAAAAAGTATATTCATCTCTTTTTATATTACTGATTGAAAAAGGACCGACGAAGATAAATAATCAATAATATCTAATTGAAATCTTTTTGACATAATATGGGGAATGATATTAAATTTACAATGGAAATTGGTTATTCATAATATTTGAATCAAACTCAATTTTTGTTTATTCCCGGTTCTTGAAGTTGCTTGTCAACTGTGCGTTATGCTACAAAGAAAATCAGGTTTAAAAATTCAAATCGTTAACAAAGCTCCATTACTTTTGACAGTTGCATATCCATGGCCAACTTGATACATTTGGAAATGGTGGGTATATCGGTATAGGATTTGGTGATGAATGTTAGGAAACGTCTATTTTACGACAGATGTTTGTTAAGTTGCATAGCCTACTTGATAAAAATATAATTTGGTGGTGAATGTTAGGAAATGCCTATTTTACCATAGTTGTTTGAGGAACTGCAAGGCATACTTAATAATATATTTGACAGAAAGCCTATCTGTATTTTTCAAATGTCATTGTTCAGTATGTTTAGGTTAATTTTAGAAACAGAAAGCGCCAGACTTTTGACAGTTGCCTAAATGAAATAAATGAATGCAAGACCCTTATTCTCGACTCCTAAAATTGTCTGTCGACTGTCATTTTTTATCAAAATTTGAGCAGTTCGAAATGTTTTTAAAATCTGTTTCGAACTTGTTTAAAAATGACGTCATTACTTTCATTCGAGAAAAAAATGAGGTTTCCAAACTACATAACATAACCTAGAATTTCTGTTTGTTTTTTTTTTCCTGGTAGCTATAGGTTATTTTCTAGTTTTGAAAAAATGTGAGAATATTCCGTTCATGATTCTATAAGCTCACACAATACAAAGTATAAACATAAAACAACTAACTGTCAATTCTTTTAGGCTATTGCGCATGCGTTTGTTTTTGAACCGGGGCGAAACCTCGTTTCAAAATATTTCCAAATATTTTTATTGTGACGTCATTAGCTCAACACGAAAATGTAATATTTTGAACTAGGTTCAACCAATTTAAACGTGAAAAAACACCTATAAATAATGTATTACATTGGTATGTTTTGGTGAATTTTAGGAAATGATCACTATTTGACAGTTGATTGGAAAAATGCATGGCCTACTTGAGAAAATATTTGTCAAAGTGAATAACTAATGCTTGTAATTTTTCGTTTAGAAATTTGTTGGTGAATGTTTGCAAAGGCCTATTTTTTGACAGTGTTCTATGTAAATGCATGACTTACTCAGACCAAAAAGTCTATTTATCTCCTTTTAATATTATAATTAAAAAAGGATCGACTCTTTTTGACATACAAGGAATGACATTAAATTTACAATGAAAATTAAACTATTTTGTAAATGACAGATTTTGATAATTCTGTAATCTTTTTTTCTTTTTAATTTTTGAACTCCGAATTTACATAAGTTACAACTGTCAAATGACACAAAATATTGGAAACTGAAAAATATGAGTGAAGTGAAAATTTCTGTTTATTCCCGGCTCTTGAAGTTGCTTATCGATTGTGTGTTATGATGGAAAAATAATCCGGTACAAAAATTTGAAATTGAAATCGTTAACAAAGCTCCATTACTTTTGACAGTTGTAAATCCATGGCCAACTTGATACATTTGGAAATGGTAGGTATATCGGTATAGGATTTGGTGGTGAATTTTAGAAAACGCCTATTTTACGACAGATTGTTGTGAAGTTGCATGGCCTACTTGATAAAAATATGATTTGGTGGTGGATGTTAGGAAATGCTTATTTTACGACAGATTGTTGTGAAGTTGCATGGCCTACTTGATAAAATATGATTTGGTAGTGAATGCTAGGAAACGCCTATTTTATGACAAATGGAAATTAATTTTTGTTTATTTCCAGCTATTGAAGTTGCCTGTTAATTGTCATTTTTATCAAAATAGGAAAATTGTGTTATATGATGGTATAATGTGGTGAATTTTATGAAATGACCATTATACGACAGTTGATTAGAAAGATGCATGGCCTACTTGAGAAAATATTTGCCAAAAAGTTTAAAATCTGTCTCTTTTCAATTCTATTGGTTGAAAAAGAATAAACAAGAAATGAAACAACTATTACTTGTAATTTTTCGATTATAACATAACGAAAGGACCCCGCACATTTCTTATGGAAAAGTGATCTATGTGAAATTTTGCAGAATTTTTGATATTGTGTATAGGGAGTCGTCCTTAACAAAAGTTATCATTGCGCTAATGTTTAATACCGGACAGTTTTTAAGATATCAATTAAAAACTTTTTTAATGTTATACTCTTCAGTATGACGTCACCAGTATGCTCACAGCACCGAAAACTATAACTATCCTTTTCACTTTTGACTTTAACTATACTCTTCTCCTTTTAACATTTAAGACATAAAAAAAAAAACAACAGGTACAAATGAAATCGCTATATGACAGACATCATGACATGAAGTTGACGATTGCGGCAGGAGCTAGGTGTTGTTTACAATACCTATTTATTTGTCACTAATCGCTATCGCTATCTTTTTTTTTTCTTAATGTTAAAAGGAGAAGAGTCAAAGTCAAAAGTGGCAAGGATAGTAATAATTTTCGTTGCTGTGAGCATACTGGTGACGTCATACTGAAGAGTATCATATTGAAAAAGTTTTTAATTGATATCTTGAAAACTGTTCGATATTAAACATTAGCGCAATGATCACTTTTGTTAAGGACGACTCCCTATACACAATATCAAAAACTCAGCAAAATTCCACATAGATCACTTTTCCATAAGAAATGTGCGGGGTCCTTTGTTGGTGAATGTTTGCAAACGCCTAAATTTTGACAGCTGCCTATGTAAATGCATAGCCTACTCAGTCTAAAAAGTCTATTCATCTCTTTTTAGTATTACTGATTGAAAAAGGAGCGACGCGGATAAATAATCAATTTTTGTACTAATTAAAATCTCTTTTGTCATACAACCTGTAGATCTTAGTTTTACATGGTTATAATGGAAACTGCAGCAACTTGACTTGACACTCTGTAAATTTGATACAGGATGTCGTCGGAAATATAAACTTTTGTAGCAATATGTTGATATTGACAGGTCAATGTCAAATTTCTAAACAAAATCAATTCCTACCTTCAACATCGGCATCAACAGCCTCCGGCAAACAGTAATTATTATTGCACAGATGCGAATTATCGTCGTTTGACGGGTTTTCACTTTTATCGATATCGACTTTCACCGATTCATCACTCGATTTCTGTTCGCTTTCTTTGTTTTTGTCAACGATTTCTTTGGGATCAGCAACAATCTGTGAAAAACAAACAATTTGTATATTAATGATTTCCTTTTGGATTTCAGGTGGCGCTAGCCAAGTGTCAAAAACATCGGCCTACTATAATTAATAGGAATTTTTTTTTTTTAGGTGAATAATGTCAAAAGATAGTTTTGAAAACATCATAGGATTCACCAGAAAGTAAACACAAAAATGACATTTTAATAAAATAACTATGTATATAAAAAGTAAACAAATGGATTTTTAATTAATATTAACAAAAATCAGTACCATTTTAACATATTGAACCAGATAATCCATCTCGCTCACTCAAACACACAACTAGTTTACTACAACCCACATGGTACCACAAATTTAAAAGGCCCACGGAACCGATTCAAGGTCGCAACCGACGACGGTACCGTTGGTACCCGCGAATAAACGCGTACTGAGCGTGTGTATGTCGGGCCGACGCCACTCGGTTCTTTTGTTTTCTTTGCGACAGCCAAAGGTAGGTAATGGGTGTGAGGAGAGAACACAGAGACGGACTAAAAAGAATTTTCATATTGTTAAATGTCAAAACTTCTACGTCAATGTTAACTTCTTTTATGGAGTCAAATTTAAACTCGACTTGGAGTTTTAGTATAAATCTTATTGTTTTAACGATTACCAAAAGTAACATTTCATTGTTGGTCTTATTGACAGATGAACAATGTTAGCAACATTGTATGTCAGCTGTCATAACCAAATTGCGCACTATAGTGCAATCGGAAAAAATTGAAACTAATTCCGTCCCTGTCGCCTACTCTGATTAGGCTCCCACGATTACGTTTCTGTCTCCTTCACTCTATCGCCGGTACTTCCGTTCTTCAACGAACCCTTTCTTTGTGGTTCGCCAGGTTCCGTGGCCCCGCATTTCCGCTTGAAACTCTCTATACTAGACTACTTATATATGTTATATATTTATCTATTATATTTTGACAATTACCTGTTTATTTTTATACTTCCGTCCTTTGATGATAAGTACAGGTATTCTAGATTTGGAAACTCGTCGAGTTTCATTAGGGGAAATCTCCAGACGCCCTAACGAATTATTTTTTAAATCCGATTCCAAGCCCTTGGGGCAATAATTTCCCATTTCCATTTTCCTTCCGAATTTGATTTTCGCTTCACAGGATTTTCGTCTCAACATTTTATTAGGTTGGTATTACTGTATAATATACACAGAGGATCAAAAAAAAATTGCACCGACATCTGTCCAAAAACACCCTATAGATAGATGTATAATCTAAAAGATTTTTCAACCCTTGTTTATAAAAATAGAAGTTCACACGCACATAAAAGTCCGTTCACCTGTCTTGACAATAAGCACTTGTTATTTACCTAGAACAGGTGTAACACACGCGACTATACAAACGTGACTGACTTTTTAATGATTCCTTTACCTTTTACCCTCTAATATTTGAATAAATGTTTGAAAAATAGGCCTTATCTTTTGTATGTGTAATGAAACAGGGACGGACTTGACATTTGGAAATTGTTGAATACCTAAGTGTCATAATTTTTGACAGTCATTGGTCGTGACAAAATCGTATTTACAACACTTGATAATTGGAATTTTTTTGACAATTGAATTTTTTCAGTTTTACAAAATTAAATTAACACATCCAAGATTTTTATTTTTTCTTTGACAACCATTATGTCAATCATATTTATTTTTTGACAACTATTATTCAAATGTCAAACATACATTTTTGATAATGAAATTTTTTTTGACAATAAATTCAAACTTTTTTTTTTTTTATTTTAAAAATTTTCCAATGTCAATTTTTTTTCTACAATTTGACACAATGTCATAAGAAATTTCAATATCAGTTTTTTTTCTAGACAGTTTGACAATTGACATCATATCAATTTCCACAGTTTTTTTTTTTAATTTTGATTTTTTTTATGATTTTTGGTATTTTTTATGATTTATGTGATTTTCCAAATCTTTATGATTTTTCTAAATTTTTATGATTTTCATAAATTTTCTTTACTTTGGGAAATGTGATTTTTGGAAATTTTCATAACTTAGTGAATTTTTATGATTTTCGTGAATTTTTATAATTTTTGTAAATTTTTGTGATTTTGTTAATTTCTGTAAATTTCTATAATTTTTGATTTTTATAAATTTTTATGATTTTTTTAAACTTTCATGATTTTATTAATTTCTTTAAATAAATGTTTTTTGCGATTTTTATAAATTTTTATGATTTTCGTGATGTTTTCAAAATTTTCATGATTTGCAATTTTCGCAAATCTTTATGATTTTTGTGATTTAAGGAAATTTTCATGATTTTCCTAAATTTTTATGATTTTTGGAAATGTGATTTTCGCAAGTTTCAATGATTTTTGCGATTTTCAATTTTTATGATTATTAGAAATTTTTATGATTTTCGTAAATTTTTATCATTTCTGTGATTTACTTAAGTTTTTATGATTTTTGGAAATTTTTAACATTTTCCATGATTTTTGTCATTTTCGTAAATTTTTATGATTTTTGTGATTTTTGAAATTTTTTATGATTTTTGGAAATTTTTGTGATTTTTGTAAATTTTTATGATTTACTTAAATTTTAGGGATTTTTGGAAATTTTCGTAATTTTTTAGGATTTTTGTCTTTTTTCGTAAATTTTTATAATCCTCGTGATTTTTATGATTTGTAATTTTTTTTTTTTGTAAATTTTTATAATTTTCATAATTTTTTTGATTATTTTGAAAAATTTAATTTACGTAAGTTTTTACGATTTTTGCGATATTTGAAATTTTTTATGATTTTTTGAAAATTTTCAAGATTTTCTTAAATTTTTATGAATTTTGTAATTTTTGCAAGTTTTTGATTTTTGTGAACTTTTATGATTTTTGGAAATTTTCATAACTTAGTGAGTTTTTATGATTTTCGTGAATTTTTATATTTTTTGTAAATTTTTGTGATTTTGTTAATTTCTGTAAATTTCTATGATTTTTGATTTTTATAAATTTTTATGATTTTTTTAAACTTTCATGATTTTATTAATTTCTGTAAATAAATGTTTTTTGCGATTTTTATAAATTTTTATGATTTTCGTGATGTTTTCAAAATTTTCATGATTTATAATTTTCGCAAATCTTTATGATTTTTGTGATTTAAGGAAATTTTTATGATTTTCCTAAATTTTTATGATTTTTGGAAATTTGATTTTCGCAAGCTTCAATGATTTTTGCGATTTTCAATTTTTATGATTATTAGAAATTTTTATGATTTTCGTAAATTTTTATCATTTCTGTGATTTTCTTAAGTTTTTATGATTTTTGGAAATTTTTAACATTTTCCATGATTTTTGTCATTTTCGTAAATTTTTATGATTTTTGTGATTTTTGAAATTTTTTATGATTTTTGGAAATTTTTGTGATTTTTGTAAATTTTTATAATTTTCATAATTTTTTTGATTATTTTGGAAAATGTAATTTACGTAAGTTTTTACGATTTTTGCGATATTTGAAATTTTTTATGATTTTTTGAAAATTTTCAAGATTTTCTAAAATTTTTATGAATTTTGTAATTTTTAGAAATTTTTGATTATTGTGAACTTTTATGATTTTCGTAAATTTTTATGACCTCTGTGAGTTTTTATGATTTTCGTAAATTTTTATAATTTTTGTCAATTTTTATAATTTTTGTAAATTTTCATGATTTTATTAATTTCTGTGAATTTCTATGATTATTTATAAATTTTTATGAATTTCGTGATTTTTCCAAATTTTCATGATTTGTAATTTTCGTAATTTTTGTAATTTTTATAATTTTTATAATTTTCTTAATATCTGTAAATTTCTATGATTTTTGCGATTTTTATAAATTTTTATGATTTTCGTGATGTTTTCAAAATTTTCATGATTTGTAATTTTCGCAAATCTTTATGATTTTTGTGATTTAAGGAAATTTTTATGATTTTCCTAAATTTTTATGATTTTTGGAAATGTGATTTTCGCAAGTTTCAATGATTTTTGCGATTTTCAATTTTTATGATTATTAGAAATTTTTATGATTTTCGTAAATTTTTATCATTTCTGTGATTTACTTAAGTTTTTATGATTTTTGGAAATTTTTAACATTTTCCATGATTTTTGTCATTTTCATAAATTTTTATGATTTTTGTGATTTTTGAAATTATTTATGATTTTTGGAAATTTTTGTGATTTTTGTAAATTTTTAAGGTTTACTTAAATTTTAGGGATTTTTGGAAATTTTCGTAATTTTTTAGGATTTTTGTCTTTTTTCGTGAATTTTTATAATCCTCATGATTTTTATGATTTGTAATTTTTTTTTTTGTAAATTTTTATAATTTTCATAATTTTTTTAATTATTTTGGAAAATGTAATTTACGTAAGTTTCTACGATTTTTGCGATATTTGAAATTTTTTATGATTTTTTGAAAATTTTCAAGATTTCCTTAAATTTTTATGAATTTTGTAATTTTTGGAAGGTTTTGATTTTTGTGAACTTTTATGATTTTCGTAATTTTTATAATTTTTATAATTTTCTTGATATCTGTAAATTTCTATGATTTTTGCGATTTTCATAAATTTTTATGATTTTTTTGATTTTTTTAAAATTTTCATGATTTGTAATTTTCGTGATTTTTGGAAATTTTTGTGATTTTTGCGATTTTCATATATTTTTATGATTTTTGCGATTTTCATAAATTTTTATGATTTTCGCGATTTTTAAAATTTTTATGATTTTTATTAATTTTCATGATTTTGTTAATTTCTGTAAACTTTTATGATTTTTGCGATTTTTATAAATTTTTATGATTCTTGTGATTTTTCCAAGATTTTCATGATTCGTAATTTTCGTAAATATTTATGATTTTTGTAATTTAAGGAAATTTTTAAGATTTTTATAAATTTTTATGATTTTTGCAGAATATTTGAATTTTATTTCAATATTTGTGATTTTTACAATTTTTGCAATTTTCGTAAATTTTTATGATTTTTGTGATTTTTGAAATTTTTTATGATTTTTGGAAATTTTTGCGATTTTCATAAATTCTTATGATTTTCGTGATTTTGCCAATATTTCATGATTTGTATATTTTTGATTTTTCTGATTCATGGAAATTTTTAGGATTTTCATAAATTCTTATGATTTTTGGAAATGAGATTTTCGCAAGTTTTACTTTTAATGATTTTTACGATATTTGAAACTTTTTTTCAATTTTTGTGATTTCTGGAATGTTCTATGATTTTCTCGAATCACAAAAGTCATAAAAATTTCCAAAAATCATAAAAAAATTTGAAAATCACAAAAACCATAAAAATTTACGAAAATTACGAATCATGAAAATTTTGGAAAAATCACAAAAATCAAAAACTTCCAAAAATTACAAAATTCTTAAAAATTTTCAGTTTTATTATTTTCTGTAAATTTCTATGATTTTTGCCATTTTCATAAATTTTTAATTTTCGTAAATTTTTATGATTTTTGTGATTTTTGAAAATTTTTATGATTTTTGGAAATTTTTGCGATTTTCATAAATTTTTATGATTTTCGTGATTTTTTCAATATTTTCATGATTTCTAATTTTCATAAATTTTTATGATTTTTTAGATTTATGGAAATTTTTATGATTTTTATAAATTTTTATGATTTTTGGAAATAAAATTTTCGCAAGTTTCAATGATTTTTGCGATATTTTAAATTTTTTTTCAATTTTCATGAATTTTGGAATTTTTTATGATTTTCTATAATTTTTATAATTTTTTTTAATTTTTGGAAAATTTTATCATTTTTGAAAAATTCATAAAAATCAAAATTTTTCAAAAATGATAAAATTTTCTAAAAATTTATAAAAAAATGAGAAAATCATAAAAAATTCCAAAAATCATAAAAATTGATAAAAAATATGAAATATCGCAAAAATTATTAAAACATGCGAAAATCTCATTTCCAAAAATCATAAGAATTTATAAAAATTTCAATAAATCAAGAAAATCATAAAAATTTACGAAAATTACAAATCATGAAAATATTGGAAAAATCACGAAAAATCGTAAAAATTTATGAAAATTGCAAAATTTTAAAAATCATAAAAATTTTCAAAAATTATAAAAATCCGCAAAAATTAAAAACTTTCAAAAATTACAAGATTTATAAAAATGTAAGAACATTCTAAAAATTTCCAAAAATCATAAAAAATTTCAAATACAAATCATGAAAATTTTGGAAACATCACGAAAATCATAAAAATTTATGACAATCTCAAAAAACATGGAAATTTACATAAATTAACCAATCATGAAAATTTATAAAAATCACGAAAATTACAAATCATGAAAATTTTGAAAATATCACGAAAATCATATGAAATCATATGAAAAATCATAAAAATTTACAGAAATTATTGAAATTAACAAAATCATGAAAATTTACGAAAATCATAACGATTCAAAAAAGTTATAAAAATTTCCAAAAATCATAAAAATTTATGAAAATCACGAAAATCATAAAAGTTCACAAAAATTAAAAATTACAAAATTCATAAAAATTTAGGAAAATTTTAAAAATTTCCAAAAATCATAAAAAATTTCACATATCGCAAAAATTGTGAAAACTTTTGAAAATCACATTTTTTAAAATAAAAAAAAATTATGAAAAATCATAAAAATTTACAAAAATAATAAAGATTTGGAAAATCACAAAAATCATAAAAAATTACGAAAATTACAAATTATAAAAATTTGGAAAATCATAAAAAATTCCAAAAATTATAAAAAAAAATCAAAATTAAAAAAAAAAACTGTGAAAATTGACAAGATGTCAAACTGTCTGCCTACTTGGATATCAACTGTCAACTGAAAATGACTTGAACCATTATTGGTGGCAGCAACTGAAAAAAATTAATAAATTACTGGCAATCGAAACGAAATAAATCGGAAAAACTCCCTCCGGATCGGAATTGTAAATCGGAAAACTTCTGGTTTTGAAACGTCAGATAAAGAATTTTCCAGGCAAACGAAACGGGCTTTTATACAAAATGTTTCCATGACCAATTTCAAATAATTGATACAGTATCATTGAAAAGTTGACGATTTTCCAGTGAAACTTGAACAGTTTCCCATCTGGCACGTTTTCCAAACGAAACTTTTCTAGTTTAAACTTGTTTTTGAGGTGGAAAAACTTTATATTTTTATTTGTCTCGTCTGGGTGACCAGTTTAAAAGTTATAAGAAACTGTCTATAAGTAATTATTTTCCATCTTTTTTCAATTAATCTGATTGAAAAAAGACGCAGCCTACTGTCTGACAGGTGTGCCAATTGTCGAAAAATATCCTCGGCCTTTTGAAAATGTCGGTTCTAAAACACATGCGAACCAATTATCGTGTTCCATTTCCAATTAAAACAAACGGTGCATTGAAAAACTCAATTAGTACCGATTCTGCTAATTGCTCGAGTCAACTTGTACCTTAATTGTCAGCAAATATTGAACGTCATCTGGAGCGCGTAACTTCAATAATAACTGTGGATTTTCAAGTGAAACATTTTTAATATAATTTGGCAACAGTGTTTGTTCAGGGACAATAAAAAGTTGAATAATAAGAAACATTATTTATTTTTATTTAATAAATTACGTTAATCGCACGTCGTAGGCCCTATAACTCGCTCCCGCATCTAGAAGGTAGACAATTGATGCAATGATGCCAAAAGACTGAAAAACAAACCGTCAAAACTGTCAAATGTCATGAGGATATAAATTCTTACCCCGGCAGCAATTAAAAGTCTAGCATACCACCTGGCAATCAAAATAGATGAAGCAATTAGTAGATAAATAAATAAAATCAAGTGCACACCGAACTGGTATTTGAGTATTCCGTTCAAAGAATGGCCGGCTTCTGTCAAACTTAGTACAAAAATGACAAGTGACATAATAATGGCGATTATGGTACCGGCGTAAAAGGCCGCCACGTTACTGTGGGTGACACCTTGACAGGCGGCTAAAATAACCGCCAGTAGACACAAAATCTGAAACAAAATGTCAAAAAATTTGATTCGAAAAAACCTGTCAGTTTACTTACAATTTCGCATATTTTCAGAACGCCTAATGTGGATCTAGTGTGGGCTGGGCCGTAAACGACTTCCTGGAAATTTCAATTTGATTTGGCAACGTTGCATTATAGGCACGGTTTATTCAATTACGGCGTTATAGATTTGTATACTTGACAGGTGAATAAATTGGCCCTTAGAGTGATAACTCATAATTAGTTATCAATTACTACAAAAACTTACCCCCATTTTTGTAAAAATATAATCACACTAACAACTAATTTAGAGTAATGTTTCATATTTTTGATAAAACAATAATTATTACACTGTAATCTCTTATCTTATCAATACAGTAGATAAATACGCACCTATTATTGAGGAATGCACCCATGACTCAGCTCCAGTGTTCGGCCATGTGAATTAATAGCATCATTTGGAAAAACCGATATCGGTAAAGTAGGAATTGATAAATATTGTGATTGGCAGTTTTCTATTTTGAAAAAATTGACAGTTGCACACAAACGATTCGCCGGAAATTGTCTCAAGTTGATTCACAAGACTAGTAGGTTTAAAAATGGCAGGTAGCAAACGCCATTTTTAATCTTGAATTATTTATCTTCGTCCTTTTTTAGCCAATGATATTGAAAAGAGACAAAAGGAATAAAACATAGTTAACAAGTAGGCCTTGTAATTAAAAATGTCAATCTTAGTAGGCCATGGCAATGTTGCCCATTGACTGAAATTCAAAAAGCATCAAAGATGGTCATTGAAAACATGGCGTATTATTGCAATGTTGCCAAATGAATAAAACAAAAAATTTAAACATTTCCATTTATTCAAACAACAAGCCGATTTAATAACTAACTAAACAATTCCTAATTGACATTGACGTACGTATTTATTTTACAGGTATTTGATGAATTATTGATATGCCAAACGACAACCAACAGTGTTGCCATACACATACACAAAATAAATAATAAAAATGCAACAAAATAAATACAATTATTATTGTCTGGTGGCAACGTTGCACCTTAACTTCTACCACAAAATACTGACCATAACAATCTTAAATATTATGTTTGATGTATAAAAAATAATAATATAAACAATTATTGTTGCGACAAAAAAATAAAACAATAGACACACATAAATACTATATGTTTATAGCTGAGGGTTTTTTTTTCAAAATATTATCACATAAAATGGCAACGTCGCATTATTATTTGATATTGCCAAATACATTTGTGGCAACAGCGTATATATATTATGTCAAAATAAAAGCAATGAGATTCTCACGAATAATAAAGCCGCCTCGAGTTCTACAACGAACTAAAATCATGATTGGCTCAAAATTTAAACACGTTTAATGCCCATCAGTCGTTCGGCCACGCCCAAATAGTAAACAGTCTGAGCGATACCAAACAAGGGAGCAATGACAATCATACGACAGGCTCCGCCTTTGAAAAACGCCGTTGGCCCTTCATACCTCAGAATGTTGCTGTAAAGTAAATTTCAAATTTTATGACAACTGACAGTTGAATATACTTACACAAAAGCGTTTCCAATTCCGCTATAGGAGCGTTCGCCTTCTGCCTTGTGAATTGCTTGTAGTCGAGTTTTGACAACGTCAAACGGATTGACAGCTAAGGCGGCGCAAGAGCCGGCAACGCAGCCCGAAAGAAATGAGCACCAAAAAACAGCTTCGCCTGATCCGTCACTTTTTCTTGGGCCTAAATCGTTCAATGTAGCAAACAATGGAAAATATATCACAGAAAATGAGACATCGCGCAACATTGTAGCGCCGGTGCCCTTGTACAAGCCTAAAATACCATGTTGCTTGAAGAGGCCCATTGCAAGTTCGGTGGCTGATGTTTTTTGTACGGTTTTGCCAACTGAAAAATCTTGAGTTGGCAACATTGTATATGACGTAAGTGTTATTTACCCAACAGCGCCTGCGCCGCCACCCTTCCAGCGTCTTGCATTTGGATTTTTAACAATTCCATTGGCGTAGTGATTACGATTTGACATAAGCCTGCTAAACCACCTGCCAGCATTTGACGGAACATTGGCAAGGTTCTACAAAAAATGTCATTAGTTTTGACATATTGCGTCAACCAATCAGCTACTTACTTTTCTTTAGTTTGCAAATTGTACCTAAAAAAATCATTGGCAGCTAGTTTTATTGCTTTTTCCGGTGTTATTAGTAGAATATTGACTGCGGAGCCTCGGTACATACCGAAAAAGCCTTCTTGTTTGTGGACTTTTTTGAAGGCGTCCACCCTATAAAAGTCGAAATTTATAAGCGAAAATCTTGTTTAATGAACATCCTTACATGCTATTGTACATTTTCTCGCCTTTGGGTCCGACCTGTTGGTTTTGCAACCGGGTCTTGACCAAATCCAGTGGGAAAACGCACGTGACGCCAATGATTCCGGCGATGCCGCCATTTACGATTTTCGGTAGCAATCTGAAAAAATCGATTACTGGCAACACTGTATTGATATTTGTCAATAATGTTATAATTCGCATCGAGCGAAAAGATGACAACCCCATGTGACCATTTGTAATTTCAAATGAAAGATTACGTGAGTTTCTGTTAAAGGGGGTGTGTGCCAAAATTTAAAGGTTTAGTGTAAAAAAATCTAAGAATAACTGTTCAAACCTCGTTATTCTACCATAAATCATCGCTGAGATATACCGCCTTGAAGTATGTGTGACGTCACGAGAGCTTAGTTTAGCCGTGTTTGTTCCCGACACACAGATTAATCGTTTTTGTTAAGATTATTGCAGGTGACACAGGAAAGACATATGTAAATTCAATACACTTCACTATCTCGTGCGTCGCTTGAGCTCTCGTGACGTCATAGGGTGAGATGCGGTACCTTCATAGAGCCATATCTTCGGTATTATTTGTCATAGAGGCGTGCGATTTTCACTGTTATTCTTAGATTTTTTTTTTTGAAATGAAGTTGTTTTTTTGGCGCACACCCCCTTCAATAATGTCACCTTTTAGCACGCAAAGAATTGATGGTACTGTTCAGGCAAGGATATTACACACTACACAGGATAGCCTGTGTAGATCAAATCACAAATTCACGCTAAAGTACCAATGATGACGCAGGCAACGTGACGTTTCTTGCCTTGGCATAGGGTATTTGCACCAAACAAGTATGAGTCGAACTCCCCGAGAAAACACATTTTTCATCTTTATCATTCTCGTTTACTTTTCAATTATGTTGACAAGGACAAAACATTCGTTCTGCATTGCATCTCTCTCAGCACAATGCTAATGACTGAAAAAAACTAAGTTGTTTCCAAGGCCAACTTAGTTTTTGACAAATAATCCTGTCACTTGTCAAAAATATGATATTTAACATTTTACCCAATAGTGTTGCTGATGTTTCAAAAATAATTAGAATTTGAAATTTCCAAGCCTACTTGGGCTTTTCTTTTTTGAATCTTTATAATTGAAACAATGTTTTTTGTACTTAACAAACGACAAAGTAGGCTTTGGAAAATTTCAAAGTTTGAATTTGGCGCCCTGTAATCGCAATACAAACATATTTCCGAGGCCTACTTGATTTGATAAATCTTTCGGTTACAGTGATCTGTATTATCGATATCGATGGCTTCCAAGGCCTACTTAGTTTTCAAAAAGTAATCCTATCGCTTGTCAAAAATATGATATATGACATTGTTTAATAGTGCTGCCAAAAATAATTACTTAGCATTAGATTATAAAAAATTTGAAATTTGCAAGGCCTACTTGGACTTTTTTCCCTATTTTCGAGCCTCAATGATTGTGACAATGTTTGTTGTAAGTTGTAGTTGGCAACACTTTTTGACAAGTAACAAAGTAGACAGTGGAACATTTTAAAGTTTGAATTTAACACCCTATAATACCGACATTGCAATACATATGTAGATGTTTTCAAAGCCCACTTGGTTTGATATAGGCCCGCAGGGCCGGGGTCATTTTGCATCACGAATTTACAGGGCGAGGATTTTTTTATGGTAATACGCACAAATGTTTATAAAATCCCGGCCCTTCGGGCTCGTAATTAAAAAAAAATATGGCAACACCGCTCACAACATAACAAACGTCAAAAAATTGACATTTCAAGTAGGCCTTGTAATTTTTGACAATTAATTCAAAATAGCTGGATAGCAATCAAGGCCTACTTGGTTTAATGAATTTTTTGCTTACAGTTATCTGTATTACCGACATTGATTGGAACCATTTGAAATGTTTGGATTCTTGAAATTAGGAAGAAGGGTATTTTTCAGCTGTAACGTTAGATGGCGCCACAGATACTCATTCCAAAACAAGTAATGGAATAAATATTCTTTCACTAGTGATGGAATGAAGCTATTCAGTAATCAAAAACTATGTCATAGAAAAAATTAATTATTATCCTGAAATAACCTTTTTTAATAACTCGTTTGCATCTTCCTCTTTACCTATTAACAACGACCACTGGTGCAAATAGCTAAAGATACCAATGATGACGTCGGCAAAGGTGCAACACCATATTACCTTGAATGCAAAAATCGAAGTTGATGAACAATTTTTAAGTACTGTGTGGTTCAGGTCTGTTTTTACAAGAATCTCTGACAGCTTGCAAACTGTCAAGAATGTATGGGTGATGATACATATTTCCAATGCCTCCATTTCAAAATAAATAAATAACTCAGCTGACTGATTGTTCCTGAGAGTTTGAAAACTTTCAGAGACTCTTGTGAGAACAAGGCAACTGTCAACAATGTCATATTTTAACTTGCAGAGGATTAATTGAACTCGCTTAATAGTACTGTTCAAGTAAGGATATTACATACTACTCAAAATAGCCGTACTCTCATAAGACCTATGTAGATCAAATCGCAGGTCCTCCATCACGCCAACCTAAGTACTAGTGATGACGTAGAAAACGTGTCACCTTGACGTAGGATATTTGCACCACAAATTATGATTACACACTGGCTTTGGTTAATGTATATTTGGTTTTAGCACATTAAATAATTTCCATTTGCCATTGGTGCAAACAGCTAACAACACGTCAGCAATGGTGCAAACAGTATATGATCTTGATTCCAAAAATCAAGACCGATGAGCAATCTTGAAGTGTGTAATATCTTTGTTGTTCAGATGTGTAGAGATATGTTCTTACAAGAGTCTGTGACAGTTTTCAAAGTATCAGCAAGCATCGCCCATACATGTTTTAAATGGTGTCGTTCCTAAACAAATTGGATAAACTTAGCTGAGCGATTGTTTCTGAAAATTTGAAAACTGTCAGAGACTCTTGTGAAAACAAGTCAATTGACAACAATGCCATCTTTTAGCTCGCGGAGGATTAACTAAACGTGATTAATGCGTGCTATTCAGGCAAGGATATTACACACTACATAGGATAGTTTATCCTCATAAGGCTAACCACTGTGCTAAAGTACCAGTGATGACATAGGTAGCGTATCGTTTCTCATATCGACGTAGGGTGTTCGCATCACAGGTTATGATTCACAACATTTAAAAAAAAAATCCTTTTTTACATCTTTTTCTTTGCCCATTATATAAATCAAAATTAAATAATACTTTTCATTATAAATGTATATTTTTAACAACGTCCACTAGCGCAAATAGTTAATGACATTATTGATGACATTGGCAATGGTGCAACACCATATGATCTTGGGGCTACTGAGTAGTGTGTAATATCCTTGCTGTTCAGATGTGCAGAGGTCTGTGGTGGGACTCCGTACCATGTAGAATTCAACATTATATCGAAACATATTCAAATGCCGTACATAGGGCCGAGCCTATAGAATCCTGTATGTAGAATTTTACATGACACAGAGTCTCTGTGCTGATTCTGTTGGATTATTTGTGGTGTCAATTCTGTCATACTCTTCTAGCTCCCGCTACTTACAATTCTGGACCTGTGATGTCACTATTAGTAGTAACGACGTCATCTGCAGACCTTAATAGAATGTTTGCGGTACCAGAGTATTAGTGATGACGTAGCCAGCGTGTCTTTTTTCGCTTTAGCGTAGGGTATTTGTACCAAAAGTTATGATTGCGCTGGCTTTTGCTTTATACATACTTAGTTTCAGTACATTAATTAACATTCCAAAACAACTTTTTTTAACATCTCGTTTGCATTTTTCTCTTTGCCTATTACCAACAACCGCTGGCGCAAACAGCTCATGACAAGACAACATTGATAACGTCGCAAACGGTGCAACAACATATGATTCCAAAAATTGAGACTGATGAATAATCCTGTAGAAGTGTGTAATATCCTTGATGTTCAGGAGCCGAGGAGTCTATTCTTAAAACAGATTGCAAACTGTCAGAAAGCATCGCCCATGGCGTCGTTCCAAGATAAATCGATAACTTAGCTGAGAACCCTGAATTTTTGGATCGAAAAAAATTGGAAATATTTATTAAAATCTTACCTGTAGGTATTTGTGTTAAAAATAAACTAGAAAGGAAACAATTTTGGCAATTATCCAATCATAATATTTTTGTAAACACGCCACACAACAATTTGGTGTATTATAAATAATATGACAAACAATAATACTTACGAGAATGAGCTTTGTTTTTCTGCCATAAGTATCGAGTTCCCTACAAGAAAAAAAAAAGAAAAAATTACTAATAATAATAAACAGCTTCCAATAAATCAATTCAAAACCACCCTATAAACGCGATACACCAATTACACGGTAAAACAGTGGCGCCATCTATTATCAATTGAATCAAACATTAAGATCAATAATGACTTACCGCGTTTATACCCTGGTTTTAAATCGGCAAAAACGAAATATTCGTGGGTCAAGCGCCACAGATAACCGGCCGAATTTAAATTGCAGTCAACAATTAAAACTAATTGGTCTCTTGCGGCTTTTATTAATAAAATTTTATTAGTTTTAATTGTGCAACAATTCAATTGAGCAACAAATGGAGTATCGCGAACCGCAAATTTATTGCAAAAACTTTGACCCAGAATAATCAATAATTAATTGATAATGATATGGTGATAAGATTTTTTTGTTATCAATAGGTAAGTATTTTTTTTCTTATCTAATTAGAATTTATTGCCTATAAAAATTCAAACAAAATTGACATTGACATTATAATAATCCAAGGCCTACTATAACTAAGCACCTAAAGGTCAAGAATAATTTGATTAATTTTTTGTATAATTGAAAAATCAATGTTTTAGGCCCTAATTCTTGACTACTGACAGCGGAAGTTGAATTTTTTCTGTCTTCCTCACACTGATTTGCATTTTAATTAGAATTGACAAAGACACAAACAGGGGGTTTCTGAAAATTTAAGCGTAACCTAATTTTTGTTTCTCAATCAATTTACCTTTTATTTATTATTGGATCTTGTACTGGGATGTACGAGAATTATTGTCGACAGAAAAATTAACGCACTTCACTGCTCAATGGCACTTTTAATACTAGAATAGCGACTAAAATTATAATTTTAAAAAATCTTCACTTTCAATGCCAACAGCTGTTTTTTTGAAATCGATATAAATTGCTCGAATCGTTTTAGAAGATAAAAAGAGACAATAAATAGGGATTTATTAGAATGTTAGACAAAGACATATAGATGCTTCGACATTGAAGCAAATAAATTACAGTTTCGTGGATGTTTTATGTAATCTTGAATAGATGGCGGCACTAATTTTTCAATAAATTACAGATTCCTTGAAGCTCATTTCAAATCTTTGAGATTTGTGACAGGTCTACTTTCTGTGAAGTACAGAAATTGTTGACGTCATCTAATGTCATAAATGACGCAATTTACTGTCAAATTTTCAAATAATTAGTCAATTAATTTGGCAAACTTATATTTATAGTTTTTTTTTTTCGCACTTTTACTACAAAATTAAGGGGAAAAGGCGTACCATAAATGTTCAAATGCACACATTAGAAACATGGCCGAACGACAGACTCAATTCTCGTAAGTATATCCAATTGATTGGTAAAAAGTTTTATTTCAAATTTTTACAAGGATATTACCAAAAATTCTCAATGGCGGTATCGCTGGTATCGTTGGTGTAGCTTGCACATTTCCGCTGGATTTGGTAAAAACCCGTCTCCAAAAACAATCACCCGGTCCAGATGGCAAAATGATGTACAATAGCATGTGAGTCTTGTAAAAAAAAAAAATTCCTTTGGTTAAATTGAATCTCATATAGACCGGACGCTTTTAAGAAAATCCACGCCGCTGAAGGCTTACGAGGCATGTACAGGGGCGCAGGCGTCCTAATTCTACTCGTAACTCCCGAAAAAGCCGTTAAACTTGCCGCCAACGACTTTTTCCGGTTCCGTTTCAAAAGCAAAGACGGGTAAATTACAAACAAAATGGCGTCCGCCAGTCATTTTGACCGTTTTTTTTTTTTTAGGAAAATTACACCATTTAATCAAGGTTTAGCTGGCGCCCTCACCGGAGTGGTGCACGTTTTCGTAACTACACCGATGGAATTGATCAAAATTCAGTTGCAAGATGCCGGCCGAGTTGCTATGAAATCGGCCAAAATCGGTAATTATAACAACGCACCTATTTTGATATTTGTTTTATCTTAGTAGGCCATGAATAGTTTGACATTGAAAAGCTCTTCAGATCCGCGCCATTTTGTTATGTCAAATAGACAAAGTGGTCGCGTCAAGATATTCTTTTTTGATCGGTGAATTATAATGGAAAAAATGGCGTTTGCTTCAAGGCAGGGATATTACAAGGATGATACACACCTACAGGATTGCTTATCGGCCTCGTTTTTGATAATCGCAGCCATATTGGTGTGAAAAATAATATACTGCCTACGTCACAACTGGTAATTTGGAATGGGAGGAAAAGGGGAATTTGTTACACACAGGCCTTATGAGGATAGGCCATCCTGTAGCAATAGTGTGTATCATCCTTAAGTCCAAATGACGTTTTTTTTTTTTTTAATTTCGAGCCCGAAGGGCGAGTGTTTTTTTAATCTTAAAGGCACATGGCAACAAAAAAACGCCATTTTATATCGACTGTAAAGGAAAACAAAGCCTACTTTGAAACGTCAATTTTTTGACGTTTGTTGTGTCATAAGCAGTGTTGCCATATGTTTTTTCCAAATTCAAGAACGGAGCAATGGAGTTATTTCAATTACGAGTCCGAAAGGCCGAAGTTATATGAGCCCAAAGGGCCGGGGTTTTATAAACATTCGTGCGTATTACCAGACAAAAATCTTTGCCCTATAAATTCGTGATTTGAAAAGACCCTGGCTCTACGGGCTCGTGATTTACAATGACCCCGGCCCTTCGGGCTCGTAAGAAGACCCCGGCCTTTCGGGATCGTGATTTAAAATGATTTCGGCCCTTGGGGTTCGTAATTAGAAAAACCCAAAATCCCGGCTCGTCAAACTCGTATTTTATAAAATTTATAAACACTCCGGCCCTTCGGGCTCGTTATTAAAAAAACCCTTGCCCTACAGGCTTGTGATTGCAAAAACTCACACCATACGAGTTTATATCAAACCAAGTAGACTTTGGAAACATGTATGTCAGTATTACAGGGCGTCAAATTTAAATTTTGAAATTTCCCAAAGCCTACTTTATCATCTGTCAAACAGTGTTACCAACTACCAAGGATGATACACACATACAAGGATTGCTTATCGGCCTCGTTTTTGGTAATCGCCGCCATATTGGTTTGTCACCATTTCCGACGTCATGACTAAGTCGTCAGTTGTTCAAACACCCTACGTCAAGGCGAAAAATAATATACTAGTGATTTGGCATGGGAGGAAGGGGGGAATTGTTACACACAGACCTTATGAGGATAGGCCATTTTATAGTAGTAGTGTGTATCATCCTTGGGAATATTACAAACTACACAAGTTGTTTCATCGTGAATCTATGACCGCTGGCTCAAATAGCTAACGACACCGTTGATGACGTCGGGAACAGTGCAATCCTATAGTAGTTTTTGCGCTCTGTCCTGATGAATGCCACCAGTAACAACACACCTATGACGATTCCTATCTGACAATCAATGCGCACTGAGTATATCCGCATCTTTTTCTAAAACCATATAAAATCTAAGAATAAAAATACATTTTTTTTTTTGTACTGACTTAGTAGGCCATGAATCGTTTGACATATGTCAAAAATACATTTCAGATCCCAAAACTGGTCATGCGATACTTCCGAAAATTTCGGCGACAAAAGTCACCCTTGACATAATCAAATCCAGAGGCGTCCAGGGACTGTTCAAAGGTCTGGTCGCCTGTTGGGCGAGAGACATACCATTTTGCACCATCTACTTCCCCATGTTCGCTACGCTGGACGCCATTGGTCCTAGAAAAACTGACGGATCAGGTGACGCCAAGTTTTTCTGGTCGTTCGCCGCTGGACTGACGGCGGGTGCGGTTAGCGCTTTCATCATGACGCCGTTTGACGTTGTCAAAACCCGAATTCAAACTGTCAAATCGGCGGCGGGCGATAAAGTTTACACTAGCGTTCCTGGAGCTATTACGTGAGTATAAGGCGCCAAGGATGATACACACTTACAGAATTGCGTCGTCAGCTGTTTAAACAGCCTACGTCAAGGCGAGAAATAACATGTTGCCTACGTCACAACTGGTGATTTGGCGAGGGGCAGAGGGGACGGAGGATTTTTTTTACACAGACCTTATGAGGATAGGCCATCCTGTACTGGTAGTGTGTATCATCCTTGAGTAGGTACCGCAAAATTGAAAACGCTACAATTTATTTATTTTTTCTAGAGACATAATGAAAAATGAAGGTGTGAAAGCCTTTTTCAAAGGTGGATTATGTCGTGTCATTGTCATTGCACCTTTGTACGCTATAGTGCAGGCGGTTTATTTCATAGGACTCGCCGAGAAGATTTTGGGCATTGAAAAGGATGTGAAAGTTATAAAAAAGGATGAAAAATAAATTATTTCAAATTATATGACATCTGTCAAAAAAACCACGTATACCAATTACCAATCAATTAATTGTCGGAAATGTATTTCCTCATTGCCCAATATTATTGTGCGTGTTCGATATGACTTAAAAATATAAAATTGATCCTATTTTTAACACGCAACGCGCTGGTGTCGGTAACAAATTGACTCAATTTAAGATTAAATTGATAATTGGGGCTCATATCAGTGGCGTAACAACATAAAAATGTGTGTTGATACAACAAAACAACAAATATTTTGTCCGTTCTCCGCAAGAATGATACACACCTACAGTATTTGTCACCATTTCCGACGTCATAACTAAAGTCCGTCGTTTTTAATCTGACACTTTACGCATAAGGAGTGAGGGGGTGTTTCATATGACGAAAACAGGTGTGACATCAGGTAACCATTGGCGTTCTAATGTAGAGAGCCTCCTGCCGAGTATCAGATTGAAATCGACAGACAATAAGTCGTCAATTATTTAAACAGCCTACGTCAAGGCAAGAAATAACATGCTGCTTACGTCACAACTAATGATTTGGTGGGAGTTGTCTCATTTAAGGATAGACTATCCTGTAATAGTAGTGTGTATCATCTTTGCGTTTTCCGCACGTCTATGGCAAGTAATTTTATCTTGCTCAATACAAGTATTTTTATAAAAATGTCTCACACACGTTCAATCACTATTTAATTGCAAAAAAGTTTCACTTATTTGACATTACTTTGACAAAATTGGTAAGTCTCTTTTATTCCGCTATAGTATTTGACAAATGACAGCTTTATTATTTCAGACTCTAAAATGACAGATAGTGTCCTTAACGTAGCCATAAGAAAATTCCTATGGCCCGATTATATAGTATTTTTCACAGTGATTCTCGTTTGCCTACTAATCGGAATGTACTTTGGGTTTTATAAACAATCGAAAACTTCAGACGATTATCTAGTAGGCGGCCGTAATATGGAAACTTTTCCCGTTGCTATGTCTCTAATTGCAAGGTCTTGTCTTTGTTTAATAGTATAAGAAAGAGTGAGATGAATATAATTTTTTTTTAGTTGGGTAAGCGGTATAAACCTACTAGGAATTCCAAGCGAAGTTTACGTGTACGGCATCCATTATGCTATGATTATTGGCGCCTTTTTGCTCATGACAATCGTAATGCTTTACGTTTATTTGCCGGTATTTCACAATTTGAATCTAACATCTACATATGAGGTAATTTATTTTACAGATTTCTGCAATCTTACTACATTTTTTTTGTAGTACCACGAACTAAGATTTGACAAAAGGGTGCGCCTTTTTGGCTCTATATTGTTCACCATCAGCTCAGTAAGTCAATTATTACAAAGCTTTTAAATCCAACTATTACAAGTAAAATTTCAGATTACATGGTTGCCGCTTGTAATCTATATACCGGCCTTGGCATTGAATCAAGTCACAGGAATTAATGTGCATCTGATAACGCCGATAGTGTGCGTCACTTGTATTTTCTACACGTCACTTGTCAGTAGCCATATTTGGTAGCCATTTTGTTTAAAATTTGACATTTCCAGGGAGGTCTGAAAGCAGTGGTGTGGGCCGATGTTGTACAAATAGCATTGATTTACGCCGCCATTTTGTTGATCGCTGTCAAAGGCACTTTGGACGTTGGTGGTTTTTTTTTGGTTGTGGAACGGAACGTTGAGAGTGGCCGAATCGAGTTGCCAGAGTGAGTCAAGCATAGTTGACAAGTAAATGTCATTTGTCAACCAATGCATTATTCATCTGTCAATGTTACCTAGTGATTAATCGCCAATTTATGTTTTAGCTTCGATCCAAATCCTTTTGTGCGGCACACGTTTTGGTCATTAACATTCGGTGGTTTTACATACATTTTACAAGCGGCAGGTGTCAATCAGAACATGGTGCAACGCTACTTGGCCTTGCCAACTTTGACATGTGCCAAAAATGCCTTGTGGATGTTTTTCTTTGGCATGGTTGTCATTATAACCACTTGCTCTTACCTGGGATTACTTATTTATGCTTCGTTTCACAATTGTGACCCACTTACCACAATGGTAAGTAGATTTATTTTTGTGTAGATTAATCTAAAATTACTATAGCTGGCTAGGGAAAAAGACCAGTTACTGCCCGTGCTAGTAATGACAGTTCTAGGCAAAGTGCCAGGCCTACCGGGCGTTTGTTTGGCAGGTAATTTCAGTGCGGCCCTAAGGTAAGACGCCATGTTTGTTTGCAGCCACATACACCAACTGTCAAATTTTAGTTCACTGTCAACGGCGCTTAATTCAATGTCAGCTGTCGTTTTGGAAGACTTTTACAAACCGTTTTTTCAAAAGGAGCTCAGCAAAAAACAAACCGACATTTTAATGAAGTGCACAGTATTAATTTTTGGAATCATTTGCGTGGCATTAGTTTTTGTTGTTGAAAAACTAGGTGCAGTTTTACAAGTAAGAATATTATTTGTCTCCTTTTTTATTATTACATAAAAGAAAAGGATAAAAAATACACACGCCATTTTTTTTTTTTTTTAGTTGTCAATCAGTATAGGTGCAATAACAAGCGGTCCATCTTTGGGCATTTTCACTATGGGCATGTTAATTCCGCACGTAAACGCCCGTGGCGCCCTCTACGGCGGCATGACGTCACTACTGTTTATGGCCTGGTTTTGTTTGCGCACGCAAACTCTGATTGCTTCCGGTGATTTGACTTTTAAGACAAAACCTGTCACCACTGAAGGTTGTCAATATAGTTTTGCGTCCGCAAATGTGACAGTTGTGACACCTACTACAGAGTAATATTTTGTCACTTGTTATTATTTTGACAGTAATTTATCGTTTCAGGGAGCAACTGTTTATGATTTATCGTTTGTCTTATTTGTGGTACACGTTGCTGGGAACTTTTATAACAGTTTTTGTGGGTGTTTTGGTCAGTGTTGTCAGTGGTCCATTAAATCCCAAGGATTTGGATCCAAAATTGCTTGCACCTTTTATGAAGAAGTGGATTAAGTCTAGAAAATTTTCCAATGAGGCCAGAGGGGATGAACTTATTTACGCATTTAAGCTTACAACGGTAAGTCATTATCGATCAAGGATAATACACACTACTACTACTACAGACTAGCCTATCCTCATAAGGCATGTGTGAAACAAATCTGAAGCCCCTACCACGCCAAATCACCAGTTGTGACGTAGGCAGCATGTCCTTTCTCGCCTGGACGTAGGCTGTTTGCACTACAGGTTATGATTTCGCGGGCTTTTGCTTTATGCGTACTTGGTTTCACTGCATTAGTTAACATTCTAAAACAACCCTTTTTTAAATCTCGTTTTCATCTTCCTCTTTGCCTATTATGTTAATTAAAAATAAATAATATTTTTCATCATAAATTCAAATTCTAAGCTACGACCTCTAGTGCAAACAACTGACAATTTAATAATGACGTCGGGAACCAATATGGCGGCGATTACTAAAAACAAGGCCGATAAGTAATCCTTAGTAGCAATGGTAGCAAGATTATTTGAGAGAGGTAGGTGGCCTGATAACTTAACGATGTCATCTGGGGTGCCTCAATATAATGCAAATCTGCATAGGACACCCCAAATGCGTCATCATAGTCATCATTACCAAACCAAGGTTTCTGAAGTTAATAGGTTGCCTCTGGTAATGGGTAACTTGATGACACATCTGAAAGTACCTTATGGAAATTTGCATTACATTGAAGCACCTCAGATGACGTCATAAAGTTATCAGACAACCTACCTCTCTCAAACAACCTTGTTATCAGACAACCTTTCAAATTTAGGAACCTTGCCTTAGTTTAATAGTGTGTATTATCCTTGACTATCGATGTGTCAAAAATGTCAATTTTTTTTTCCAGGGCCAACTAGAACAAAATGGCGTCACAGAATCATTATAAAAAAAATAGTTTTTATTAATAAAATCCCTACTACAAATACAAAAGAGCCCTGGAAACGTTATAAATACACGGCCTACTGAAGTTCTGGTAAGACAATGCGGCACTGTTGACGTTCAAATACGTCGTGACGCACGTCATTAGCGTACCAGCAACAATTATTAGGATGCAAAGTGCCACTTCTAGTTTTCTATTCCAGATCCTTGATATGTAATATGACGTTTGACTCATTTGACATTGTTCAACAATGTATTCCCTAGAAAATAAAACACCAAGTGTTGTTGGCAATACTGTAATAATAATGTTTACCTCGTATAATCATCCTCTTTGCTTGGTTTATTCATTACAACGTTGGTGAAGCTTTCTTTTTCCAATTTTACAAGGTGCTTCGTATGCATACGAACAATTTTAACATAAAACAACGGCGGTAGAATAAAGACCAGCGGTCCTATTAAAGTACCACCAATCAAGGACATTACCAAATCAAATCTAGGTACCGATTCTGCTATAACAATGGCCAAAAATGTCAAAATTGTCCTCAAAATGCACCGCTTATGGTTGAATTCTCTAGAAATATTCAAAAAATCCTCCATGTGTTGATAGAGGGCGTTGTTGCTGACAGCTGACGTTAGACACAACTGAACGGCAACCAGTGTCGCGGCAAAATGCAAAGCCACTGACGTAGGCAACGTTTCTAGAATACTAGGATTTGCGGTGTTGCCATATTTCAGTGCGGCTATAAGAGTACTACTACCAAACATAAACAGCGACACTAAAAATCCACCTAGAATGGCTTGCGGTAGCTGACGTTTGTCGCACATGTCCATTTGAATTGTCAAAATTGACGGATGGATGTCAAATTGAAAAGCTACAATGCCGTAAGCTGAAATTATCAGTCGCCATAGGCTTGTGTCATTTGGTTTTGGAACTATTTCATTGGTTGGAGCGAATAGTAGGCAGGCGCAAATTAGTAAGTAAACTGTTGACACTATTATGACAGATATTGTGCAAAGGATTCTAGAAATGGCAACACTGTTGTTTATGGATAGTTTGACAGCTGACATCTACTTACTTCATATCTTTTGGACTGCCAAGCCATAAAACCGGACATAGGATGGCACCTAAAACGATTATCCAATAGCAAAAGGAGATGTTAAGGTCGCTGACTCTGAGGCCTAAAAGTTGTAAATTTTGTGCAGCTAAAAACTAAAAGTAGTTACTCGTTTGCAAGCAATGTTGCCATATATATTACCGACAATTAAATTAGGTATTCCGCCGCTGAAAACGGTAAGATCGACCAAAAAAGTGACGTAGTAGGAGGTGCATTTGCCGAAAGTCAATTCGGCCAAGGCCGAGTACGGATAGCGGTTTTTCAGTTTTATGCTGGGACGAATTTCTTCGGCTAAGGTCCAACATTTTCCTAGCAACGTTGCAGTGTAAATTTGCACCGAACACACAACGAACACTATCAAGATGCCATAAAAACCTAAAAATTGAATTAATAAAGTGTTGCCAAATTGTGCATACTTACCGCAATCGATGATGGGTTTCGGTAAGGTTACAATTGGAAATACTCCAAATACGTCTACAACGCAAATAATGGCGAAAAATAGGGACAGGTTGTTGTTTATTGCAATCTTCGGCAAGAGCGGTCTTGATTCTTCAATGTGCATGGTGGAATTTAAAAAAAGAAAATTGTAAATCGATATTCTATCGTTGTAAGGTTTCCGTGCTTGGTGAAATCAGCGTTTCAAGTTACACTTGTATCGAATTTATTTTGCATATAGGGGTGTTTCAAAATGGAATAACTCCATTGATTTTTGAAAAAAAAAAGCAGTTGGTATTACTGGCTCAAATAAATTTGACAGCAGGTGAATGGGGTGGAACACGAATATATTTCTCCCTATCTATTACATTTCGAGCTGTATTGTTTCATCTTTTTCTACACCCTCAAATGGAAAAGCTCATTTTTTATCTTAATAGGCCCATTACAAACAAATTTTGACAGTTGTAATGCAATCAGGGCTGGGACTCTGTAACGAGAGATACTTTCTCTATCCCTATTGATTTCGATAAGAGAGAAATAGATAGCAAGTAGCCATAGCGATAGGGATAATCTCTATATCCGTTACAGAGACAAAGAAAAGAATGAAAAATAAATTAAATTAAAAAGAAAAAATGTTGTTTTCTTTATTTCAATTATTGAAAAGGTAAATAAAGATTAAATGGTCTACCAACTATTATTCATAATGAGAGCTTATCTCGGGAAAAGTGAGATAAGATTAGTCTGTGTTGAAATCCTCACTGAAATGATTTTGTGCAACTGTTGTGTAGATTGGAAAAGTACATTTAAATAAAAATGAGCGTAAGTGCAAAGTTAATAAGTCTGGTCTGTTTGTACAGAAATCACAAACCAGTCAAAGTGAATTTCATTGGTTGGAAACTAGTTTTTTGACTGGTTTGTTGATTTCTGTGTGAACAGACCTTAATAAGTGACCATTTTTTAGGAGGACATCTACCAAACTGGAACCGGTTACTTGAAATCGTACCCGGGCATTTTGAAAATTTTAGAAGGCGTAAGTCAATTTTTAGTGCCATCTATACTTCAATACAGCAACTTATTTCCAGGCTTTGCACGTAAAACTAATTATTTTCACTTTGATTCTGACATCTACGCCTCAAGCCCAGTTTTTTTGCGGCATTTCAATTTACGGCGTCATAAGCGCTACAGTGTTGCTATTATTCCATATACAAGGAGTAGGAAAAAATTCGCAATTTCCTTGGTTTTGGGTCGAGTGCATCAACAGCGGTTTCCTAGCGCTGTTGTTATTGGTCAGTGCCTCTTTAATTGTTGCTATTATGACCAAAGGATACATTGTGACAGGAGTAATTTGTTGCTACAAATTTTCTCGTGGTGGAACTGGTTCGAATCTGTACATTCTCACGTTGAACCAGTGACGTCATATTGAACCTGGTTCAAAAAAGTTTGAACCTTGACATGAGACTGTGCGTTCACAAGTGATGACGTCATTTACAAATTGGTATTTAAACCGTTATTCGAACCAAGTTCCACCTTTTATTTTTTTGCCTACTAGGATTAATTTTTTCAGATTATCGGATATGTGGCAACGTTGGTGTATGTAATGGACGCCGTTGATAAATACAATGTTGCCAGAACGCCTAGGGCTAGATATGTTTGGACCACGCCCAATATGCCTGAACAGTTACCATAATTTTTTTTATTTATTTAAAATTACTGAACATTAAAATAATATACAATAAGTAATAATTAATCATCTTCAACTTTCTTGTACTTGTATTTGCCTCGCATGTGTTTGGGTAGTAGGCAAGTACCAGAACAAGGTACTTGTCCGGGTATTACACATATGCAGCTCCTTAAGCAACCGGCACCGAAATTTGCAGGGTTGTCTTTTTTCTCCTTAGCAATTAGTTCGGATTTTAAGACTTGCTCGTTTTTTCCGAGTACTCTGATCAAGTGCTCGTAGATTTCTTCTTTATTTCTGCCGTCGATATCAATTAACATGTGATCGCCAGTGTCTAAAAAAGAAGATTTTTGGTATTACTTAGAGCTGGTTTATTTGCCTTCTGATAAACTGTCAGGTAATGCAATCCATCGACCAATAGATTGTTAATTATTTGTCTTGCAGATTGTTACCAGCAACTTTATCTAAAGATGAATAAACCAAACCTTATGTAAATCAGTGCACAGTGAGTGTATCCCCATCTTTTTCTAAAAGCATGTAAAATATAAGGATAGGGAAACATTTTCTCTTGCACTGATTCTACAAATGGAAATCATTATGATCTACTTACCATAAAATGCCCTTATAAAGGGTGAAGGTGTCAGGTTTTTAAAAGTCGATATTTGCACTAGGGGATTCTTGTACTGGATTTGGGGCAAGTGCCAAAAGACAAAATCTCTAAAATAATTAATTGTAGTAAAAAATCTAGGTTGTTTGAAAGAGGTAGGTTGTCTGAGAACCTTGGGTTGCCTGTACACTTTTATGACGTCATCTGGGGTGCCTCAATATAATACAAAATCGGCATAAGGCACCTTAGATGACGTCATCCAGTTACCCATTACAAGACAACCTATTACAATAATAATCTTTTATACCTAGTTCCGTGGTGACTTTCCCCATGTACATTATAATTCACTGTTAAAATTTTAATTTGGTCCTTCAAATACAATTTGCCCGCCTCGAGGTACTTTAGGGTCCTCCGCACGGGGGCTCTGCCCTTCATAAACGGCATATTGAATGTAGATTTATATGAATTTTTAAGTTCAAATTTCAAATACAAATATTTTGAAGTGAGGTTAAGTTAGGTACCCTCTTGTCTCTTCTTTTTTTTTATAACAATATGGCGTTTTGACGTTCTGTCAATATAATAAATATGCAATATGGCGTCGTATAGGGATGGCCAAAATATTTCGATTCGGTTCGAAGATGGCGAATCGTTGTTCAACTTACTCTTAGTATTCCAATTGCTTTGATATCTGTTTCACCTGCACTAACTCTATTGACTGAACTATTCTAATGAAGATTCATTTAGTTACTCTAAAAACAAAAGTGTAAAAGGAGTAGACTTTAAAAACTTCAGATCTCGTGGTGGAACCTTTGGAGTGAGTTCTTTTTGCTCTACTCCGTATAATTTAGCTAAAAAAATAATAATCGAACAGTTTGAGTGAATCCGTAATATTCTGGAAGGCCCTCAAACTATATTTTACTCTTTTATACTTTAGCTGGGTTCGGCTATTCAGCGCGTAGTTGGAGTGAAGTGAACAGAGCTAATGGAGTCACCCCTAATACGGTAAAAAGCAATACCCGAACCTTAATCCGAACGGCTGGAGTGCGAATGGAGTCACTCGGAGTGCAAGGAATGAGCAAGCCGAAGTCACCTTTTAATTGTTGTAAGTAGAGTAAAATTATTTGCACCTGCAAATGTGCTTTAGTTACTTTATTTACACTAAAAAGCCATTTTCGAACAGTGAGAGTAGCTACCTTATTGGTTCGGGTGCAATTTTGTAGTAAACGGACTATTGGCATTCGACGTAAAAGGAGTAGATTCTAAAAATTCCATTTCTCAGATTGATTTTTTGTCAATTTTCACTCTAAAATCGTTCTGGTGTAAAATTTATTTACTCCACTCCGTATAGACGAACATACTATATTTACTCTAAAAAGCCATATTCGAACAGTCAGAGTGCCATGGCATACGAATTAAAACAAATTTGACAGTTGAAGTACCTACGGAGTACTTTGATTATCCAAAATTCCACTCTTTTAAACTATTCTATAATCCACTGATTCGCATATTGTATTCGTAGTGAGTGGAGTAAGATTATTTACACTCGAATAACGAGAAAATAATAAAAGAAGTAAAACGGAGTACCCTGGATGGTTTAAGTCGTTTGAAATTGTATTCTTTTTGACTCTTCTATACTCTATCAATTGTTTTCAGAGTAAATGCAGTAAGATTATTTTCACTCGGGAAACAAGAAAAGAGTAAAAGGAGTAACTCCAAAAGTTTCAGAGTGGGTTCTTATTGCTCTACTCCGAGAAAAATAAATAAAATTGAACAATTAAAGTGAATACGGAGTACTCTGAAAGGCCCTCATTTAAACTTTATTTGACTCTTTTATACTCCACTAATTGTTTTCGGAATAAATAGAGTGAGACTATTTGCACTCGCAAGTGTGTTTATGTTAAAAAATTTATAATCGAACAGTTAGAGTAAATACGGAGTAGTCTAGTGGGCACAAAAAATTGAATTACGAATATTCAATGTGCTCCAGTACAGTTCAGATTAGTATATTTCAATTTCGGAACAGCAATGGAAGCAATCGGAACTCTAAAAATCAATTCTAAAATGATCTGGAACTGGTTCTCAGTGAATTTTTAATGCGATCCAGGGCTGGATTTAGATAAATAGAATTCTACTTTCATGAAGTCAGGTTGCCTAACAGTCATCATGATTGCCTATACTGATGAAGACTGTACGCGATACATAGGCTGTGAATGACGTCATGAAATTAGAATTCTTCTCGTCGTGATCCCAGCCTTGGGCTGGGATCTCGACGAGTGGAATTCTACTAGAATTTTACTTTCATGACGTCAGGTTGCCTAGCAACCAACATTATCGCCTGTACTGTACGCGATAAATAGGTTGCGGGTGACGTCATGAAAGTAGAATTCTACTTGTCGTGATCCCAGTCCTCTGGACACTAATTTAAGATCTCGGGCACCGTATGCGTCTAAGGGCGGGTATTATAAAACTACTCTGACAGTTAACTTGAAGTTAACTTTTTGAATTACATGTAATTTCACAAGTTAACTTCTGAAATTACATGTAATTCAAAAAGTTAACTTCAAGTTAACTGTCAAAGCAGTTTTATAATACCCGCCCTAAGGGTGGGTATTATAAAACTACTTTGAGAGTTAAATTAAAGTTAACTTTTGGAATTACATGTAATTCAAAAAGTTAACTTCAAGTTAACTGTCAAAGCAGTTTTATAATACCCGCCCTTAAGCCTAGTACTCATAACTGCGAAATTCGCATTTTTTTGACATTGCGTTGACAATTTGACGTTTTATGCGTGTATCAAACGTCAAATTGTCGAATCAATGTCAAAAAAATGCGAAATTCGCAGTTATGAGTACTAGGCTTTAGGGAGGGTATTATAAAACTGCATTGACAGTTAACTTGAAGTTAACTTTTTGAATTGCATGTAATTCCAGAAGTTAACTTTAAGTTAACTCTCAAAGTAGTATACCCGCCCTAATAATAATTAAGTTCATAATTTTTTTTTAGTTCGGAACAATAATCGATAAACTGCTTTAGGTTTTGTTCCAACTGCATTAATTCTGTTCTGTTTGCACTGCTCTGATTGTTACTGTTCAAATTAGGGCGGGTATTATAAAACTGCTTTGACAGTTAACTTGAAGTTAACTTTTTGAATTACATGTAATTCCAAAAGTTAACTTTAAATTAACTCTCAAAGTAGTTTTATAATACCCGCCCTTACTCCATTATGTTACTAATTAATGAAACTATTTATTATAACCATTATAAAGCCTAGTACTCATAACTGTGAAATTCGCATTTTTTTGACATTGCTTCGACAAATTGACGTTTGATACACGCATAAAACGTCAAATTGTCGAAGCAATGTCAAAAAAATGCGAATTTCGCAGTTATGAGTACTAGGCTTAACAGTAGGCTGATTTGAAAATTAATTTTGAGTTTTTAGTAATTCTACTCTGACTGTTCCAAGTGACTCTTTTTGATCTATTCAACTGTCCGAAATACTTTGACTATTCTAGTGGTGCTTCTCGCACGCGTGTAAGAAAACCTTATTATTCTTTATATACATTCGCGATGGTTCAATAATAACTGTTCAGAGTGCTCCAACTGTTTAGAAACCCGGTATTCATAGACGGGTGCTTGGCTCAAGTTCCGATTTTTGACAGTTCTGAGCATCGTTCCGTGTTAAGCCTAGTACTCATAACTGCAAAATTCGCATTTTTTTGACATTGCTTCGACAATTTGACGTTTGATACACGCATAAAACATCAAAATGTCGACACAATGTCAAAAAAATGCGAATTTCGCAGTTATGAGTACTAGGCTTTATTTGGAATAGCAAATATAGCGTCAAGTCGTACTTGAGCCAAGACGCAACCTTGAGCATCGACTATGAATACGGGCCTAAAAAAGTACACTAGAGCAGATTACTCAAAAATACTCTAGAATAGCTTGTTCTGAAGTCTAGAGTACTCTACAGTAGCTTGCACTAGAATAGTTTACTCCAAAGTGGTTTTTTGTCCAAGAGTACTCCAAAGTAGCTTGCTTTACAGTATCCTAGGGTAATCTTTTCTGGAAAAAACTAGAATAACAATAGTGAATTGACTAGAATAACTCTTATAACCAGTTTTAAAGTACTTATCTGTTTCAAGTATCATTATTGTTCGGAGTACTCCGAATACTCTAACTGTTGAAGTACTTTCATTGTTTGGAGTACATTATTAAATTTATTGATGTTTGAGTTATGGCGTTTCCGATTGGTAGATCTAGTGCGGAACTAGTGCAATTTTTTCTATTTCTGTCTTTTTCTGCTACAGGTTGATTAAAAGGATGCAAATACACTCAGTGCGCACTGAATCTACCAATCGGAAACGCCATTAGTTTGCGATTTCAAACAGATATTACCAAACTTAAGCCTAGTAATCATAACTGCGAAATTCGCTTTTTTTTGAGATAGCTTCGATAATTTGACGTTTGATACACGCATAAAACGTCAAATTGTCAAAATAATGTCAAAAAAGTGCGAATTTCGCAGTTATGAGTACTAGGCTTTACCGATAATAAACCGGTTAGTTTGGTCCAGGTTGGAACAGTTCCATTTGAATTGCGAAATGAACTACAGTGCACTGACTTCTTTGATCTGCTCAGCTCTTGGAATTAGGCACTAGCTGACGTCACACACATAACAAATAGACCTTCAAACGTCTTTGTTCCCTCATCGCACGTCTAATGTGAGATTGTGTGTGACGTCAGCTAGTGCCTAACTACTTTGATTGTTTTAATTTTGTTCGACTTGCACTAACTCTATTTAAATTACTCTAAAGCATTCCATCTGCATCTATTTTATTTGAGTATTAAATGTTCCAATTTTTTCAATTGCTGTTCCATCTGCACTAAATCTGTTCTATTTGCTCTGTTCTGATTGTTGCTGTTCGAACTACTCTAATATGCTACTAAACAATGAATTTATTCACTATAGCTACGTTCACTAGAACCAAAACGGATTACAAACAGTTTACAAAATATCAGCAGGCTACGTTAGGTTGAACTCTTGGTTCTGCTAAACGATTCAACTTTTCAATAATTATAGAACGTCACTTTTTGAATGTCATTTCACCACAGTTCAGTTTGGAATGGGATTTTAGTGCAGTGCTAGTGCGGTGTTCGTGTAGTGCAGGATATCACGTGATGAAGGTGTAATCGGCGGAGTAACACTGAATACACTATCATTTTATACCGAGTAAATGATGTCCGATCATCTTTACACCATTCGGGTACCAAAGGTGAGTTCGGAATGGGATTTTAGTACGGTGTTCGTGTAGTGCAAGGTTACATCACGTGATGACGGTGTAATACTGAATACATTATTATCTTGTATCGAGTGAATGGTGCCACACTCTCTTTATCGGACACCAAATTATTTCCAAACACAATTAAAGTGTACACCAAACATACTCTTACCAACTAACATACGTCACAGTGTCAATAGTGTCGACATTTTGTACCATTCCAAACTTACCTTAAGTTATTTCCAAACGCAAATAAACTGTACACGAAACTTACTCCCACCAATCAAAGAACGCCACAGTGTCAATAGTGTAAAAAGTGTCGACACTTCCTATCATTCCGAACCCAACTAGGGTCAGTATCGAGTTGTATTTCATTGTCGAATCGAAAGTAATTTTACTCTGACTGTTCCAAGTGCACTGACTTCGTTTTGATCTAGTGCAACTGTCAAATGGCGCCAATTTCAAACTATATTACTTAAATTAATTTATTTCAAATGCTTAAAACTATTGGAAAGTAAATTTCGAACTTAATTCTACTCTATTTCAATATCTTCGTGCGAAGTATGTGTCTTCCAAGACAAATAAGTGTTCCAAACGATGGCGACTCCTTGCACCAACAAAACCTGATAGTTTAATGGTACCAAATAGAAATTAACTAGTTGCACCGCAGGCCACAATTTCCAATTAGCCACCACAATGTCAGTATAATTAGCCTCTAATTCTTTTTTGATATGCGAAAACGATTTTCCATTCATCAGGTTGAGGTTGGTAACGAAAACTACCAAAAAACTTGGGGCGAAGATTAGTTGGTCACAAGCGACTTTTTTCAGGGTGGTTATCGACGAGGATTGGGTGCCGAATTTGCGGGCCAGGGTGCGGTACCAAAGGCTCAAAGATGGACCCTGAAAATTTAAAAATAGTTACGTCCGTTGAATGCACTCAAAATATCGATAGTCAAAAGGGTTTATCGATATTATTTATCAATTTTTGTTTATTCTCGGCTCTTGAATTTGTCAAAGAAGAAAGTTCAAGAGCCTGGAATAGAAAAAATATGAATATCTTGTAAATGTAATTATTTTGCAAGATTAGCTGGGTTCGGCTATTCAGCTCGGAGTTAGAGTGGAGTGAACAGAGCCAATGGAGTTACTCCTAATACAATAAAAAGCATTGTAAAAAGCAATACCCGAACGGCTGGAGTGCGAATGGAGTCACTCGGAGTGCACGGAGTGAGCAAGCCGAACCAACCTATCATTATCGATATGCAAAACGAAGAACAACGTATCGATAATCTTTCCTCCGATGTATCGACTATTCTAAACACAACATACATGAACATAGCCTCAAAAGTTAAAAAATTTTCCTTTGAAACTTACCACAAAAACAGTACCTAGCAGCATAAATTTGGCAGTCCTAACAGGTTGGTACTTTTTCAAATTTTTACCTTCGACCAGCGTCTGAGCGACAACATCGCCAACGCCCATTAACAGCCCTGTCTGAACCGCTTGCACCACCATAAAATGATTTTTTAACAATTTCTGATACGTTTTTATAAGCGACATTTTGACTAAAATAAGGTTACAATTTGTGCGTGCTAGAAAGAGATAGCTATATTGTAGTATTGTTTTAATTTGAGGTTAGTTTTGTCAAAATTCTCAGTCAAAAAAGGGTCAAATGAATAAATTGTGGCAATTGACACGCAATTTACTAAGAAATCGATTATTTATATTGCAACCCTTGTTCAATGTAAAAAGATTATCGCTTGTCAAGGCCCCAAAAATGCGTTTTGCCCCGTTTTCTATTGGTGCAATATTTCCCTATACCAAAACGGATTTGGAAGATGACGTTTTCAAGGCCTTTGTTGAAGGCGAAGCCGCAATTATCGATATAATGAATGAGCTAAAAAAGTCGATAATAACAGTTTCCAAAGAGTATCGTAACTGTATTGGGCAGCAAATCGATTTGATTAAACGTTCAGGAGATGTCGCCTCTGATGCTTTGCCAGAATTCAGAATTTTGGCTAGTCAGTTGAGTAATGAGCTTAATGAATATGTGATTTTGTTGAAGACTATTGGAGAAATTGCGTATGATCAGACAATGGTTGGGCTGATGTTGGAAAAAAACAGTTTGGAGAGTATTTTGAAGACGTACAAAGAGTTGGAGATTTTGTTGCTGCAAGAATTCGAAGCTAATAAAAGAAAAGAGTTGGAATTGTTGGAAGTTAACATTGCTAATATGCCAATTAGAAATAAATAACTATTTGTAGATAAAAATGTTGTATTTTATAAGATTTCTATCTCAGGCATTTTTGTTAAAGTTGGCCATGGAATTGTCATTTGTCAAAAGTAGGTGGCTTTGGAAATTATGTCAATTGTCAACAGTGTCAAAATTCGATAATTACAGGTTTCTCTAAAAATTATGAAAGAGTACAAATTCATTATTTGGCTTTTCGAAAGTTGATTTTTCTAGAATTTCTTATAGTGTTGTTTTCCACTGGATCACTTTGAAATTTCAGTATCGTAATCTTTCTCTTTTTACCTGGAAAATTTCAAAATTTTCCCTTAATTGGTTTTTCCAAAAAATATCATAATGTGACACAGTGTATGTTCATTTTTTGAGTCATTAAAAGTTAATTTTTCTAGAATTTCTTGTGGCGTTGTTTTTCACCGGATGAATTTGAAATTTTAGTATAATGAGCTCCTCATTTTCCTCCTTTTGCTCGTAAAGTTTCAAAAATTTCCCCTCTCTAGTTTCTCCAAACAAGATCAAAATATGGAAAAGTGCGTTTTAAAAATGCTATTATTTTATCATAGACAGCTTTGGAAATTACGTCACTTGTCACTTGTCACTGTCAAAAATGACGTTGCCAATTGTCAAAAATAATAACACTAATTCTCTTGTTTTAGTAGGATGAGTTGTCAAAAGGGTAGTACCGTCCGTACCAGGCCTCAAAAGTACAAAAACCGTAGCGTTTTCAAAAATTCGCTGCACGACACGAGCCAAAAAACCAAATCCATAAATTCCACTCATATTTCGCACGTTTGCCAACGGTGCAAGGAAATCATCGAGTGGAAAATCAGGTACAAAAAGTACAAACCTTTGACTCAGCCTAAGAAATGCGTCAAATGCGAACAGAAAACTGTAAAACGAGCTTACCATATCATGTGCGATCCTTGCGGACAAAAGTTGGGTAAGTCTTATATGTCAAAATCATACGTATGCCTTTTGGTTTGAAAAATGCCCCTGCCACATACACTTTGAAAACTCATATCTTGAAAACTGCTTGAGATATCGATTTCAAACCTGTTTTATCTTGAAGAGCATTTAATTTTGATTCGAAACGGTTAACTTTGGTATAAAATTTGAGAAATATTCATTGATTTTCTGTATACACATGTATGCCTTTTGGTTTGAAAAATGCTCCTGCCACATACACTTTGAAACCTCATATCTTGAAAACCACTTGAGATATCAATTTCAAACCTGTTCTATCTTGGAGAGCATTCAATTCTGATTCGAAATTGTTAACTTTAATATAAAATTTGAGAAATATTCATTGATTTTCTGTATACACATGTATGCCTTTTGGTTTGAAAAATGCTCCTGCCACATAGGTACACTTTGAAGCCTCATATCTTGAAAGCCACTTGAGATATCGATTTCAAACCTGTTCTAACTTGAAGAGCATTTAATTTTGATTCGAAACGGTTAACTTTGGTATAAAATTTGAGAAATATTCATTGATTTTCTGTATACACATGTATGCCTTTTGGTTTGAAAAATGCTCCTGCCACATAGGTACACTTTGAAGCCTCATATCTTGAAAGCCACTTGAGATATCGATTTCAAACCTGTTCTATCTTGAAGATCATTCAATTCTGATTCGAAATTGTTAACTTTAGTATAAAATTTGAGAAATATTCATTGATTTTCTGTATACACATGTATGCCTTTTGGTTTGAAAAATGCTCCTGCCACATAGGTACACTTTGAAGCCTCATATCTTGAAAGCCACTTGAGATATCGATTTCAAACCTGTTCTAACTTGAAGAGCATTTAATTTTGATTCGAAACGGTTAACTTTGGTATAAAATTTGAGAAATATTCATTGATTTTCTGTATACACATGTATGCCTTTTGGTTTGAAAAATGCTCCTGCCACATAGGTACACTTTGAAGCCTCATATCTTGAAAGCCACTTGAGATATCGATTTCAAACCTGTTCTATCTTGAAGATCATTCAATTCTGATTCGAAATTGTTAACTTTAGTATAAAATTTGAGAAATATTCATTGATTTTCTGTATACACATGTATGCCTTTTGGTTTGAAAAATGCTCCTGCCACATAGGTACACTTTGAAGCCTCATATCTTGAAAGCCACTTGAGATATCGATTTCAAACCTGTTCTATCTTGAAGAGCATTTAATTTTGATTCGAAACGGTTAACTTTGGTATAAAATTTGAGAAATATTCATTGATTTTCTGTATACACATGTATGCCTTTTGGTTTGAAAAATGCTCCTGCCACATAGGTACACTTTGAAGTCTCATATCTTGAAAACCGCTTGAGATATCGATTTCAAACCTGTTCTATCTTGAAGAGCATTCAATTCTGATTCGAAATTGTTAACTTTAGTATAAAATTTGAGAAATATTCATTGATTTTCTGTATACACATGTATGCCTTTTGGTTTGAAAAATGCCCCTGCCACATACACTTTGAAAACTCATATCTTGAAAACTGCTTGAGATATCGATTTCAAACCTGTTCTATCTTGAAGAGCATTCAATTCTGATTCGAAATTGTTAACTTTAGTATAAAATTTGAGAAATATTCATTGATTTTCTGTATACACATGTATGCCTTTTGGTTTGAAAAATGCTCCTGCCACATAGGTACACTTTGAAGTCTCATATCTTGAAAACCGCTTGAGATATCGATTTCAAACCTGTTCTATCTTGAAGAGCATTCAATTCTGATTCGAAATTGTTAACTTTAGTATAAAATTTGAGAAATATTCATTGATTTTCTGTATACACATGTATGCCTTTTGGTTTGAAAAATGCTCCTGCCACATAGGTACACTTTGAAGCCTCATATCTTGAAAACCACTTGAGATATCGATTTCAAACCTGTTCTATCTTGAAGAGCATTTAATTTTGATTCGAAACGGTTAACTTTGGTATAAAATTTGAGAAATATTCATTGATTTTCTGTATACACATGTATGCCTTTTGGTTTGAAAAATGCTCCTGCCACATAGGTACACTTTGAAGTCTCATATCTTGAAAACCGCTTGAGATATCGATTTCAAACCTGTTCTATCTTGAAGAGCATTCAATTCTGATTCGAAATTGTTAACTTTAGTATAAAATTTGAGAAATATTCATTGATTTTCTGTATACACATGTATGCCTTTTGGTTTGAAAAATGCTCCTGCCACATAGGTACACTTTGAAGTCTCATATCTTGAAAACCGCTTGAGATATCGATTTCAAACCTGTTCTATCTTGAAGAGCATTCAATTCTGATTCGAAATTGTTAACTTTAGTATAAAATTTGAGAAATATTCATTGATTTTCTGTATACACATGTATGCCTTTTGGTTTGAAAAATGCTCCTACCACATAGGTACACTTTGAAGCCTCATATCTTGAAAACCACTTGAGATATCGATTTCAAACCTGTTCTATCTTGAAGAGCATTTAATTTTGATTCGAAACGGTTAACTTTGGTATAAAATTTGAGAAATATTCATTGATTTTCTGTATACACATGTATGCCTTTTGGTTTGAAAAATGCTCCTACCACATAGGTACACTTTGAAGTCTCATATCTTGAAAACCGCTTGAGATATCGATTTCAAACCTGTTCTATCTTGAAGAGCATTCAATTCTGATTCGAAATTGTTAACTTTAGTATAAAATTTGAGAAATATTCATTGATTTTCTGTATACACATGTATGCCTTTTGGTTTGAAAAATGCTCCTGCCACATAGGTACACTTTGAAGCCTCATATCTTGAAAGCCACTTAAGATATCGATTTCAAACCTGTTCTATCTTGAAGAGCATTTAATTTTGATTCGAAACGGTTAACTTTGGTATGAAATTTGAGAAATATTCATTGATTTTCTGTATACACATGTATGCCTTTTGGTTTGAAAAATGCTCCTACCACATAGGTACACTTTGAAGCCTCATATCTTGAAAACCACTTGAGATATCGATTTCAAACCTGTTCTATCTTGAAGAGCATTTAATTTTGATTCGAAACGTTTAACTTTGGTATAAAATTTGAGAAATATTCATTGATTTTCTGTATACACATGTATGCCTTTTGGTTTGAAAAATGCTCCTACCACATAGGTACACTTTGAAGCCTCATATCTTGAAAACCACTTGAGATATCGATTTCAAACCTGTTCTATCTTGAAGAGCATTTAATTTTGATTCGAAACGGTTAACTTTGGTATAAAATTTGAGAAATATTCATTGATTTCCTGTATACACATGTATGCCTTTTGGTTTGAAAAATGTCCCTGTCACATACACTTTGAAGTCTCATATCTTGAAAACCGCTTGAGATATCGATTTCAAACCTGTTCTATCTTGAAGAGCATTCAATTCTGATTCGAAATTGTTAACTTTAGTATAAAATTTGAGAAATATTCATTGATTTCCTGTATACACATGTATGCCTTTTGGTTTGAAAAATGCTCCTGCCACATAGGTACACTTTGAAGCCTCATATCTTGAAAGCCACTTGAGATATCGATTTCAAACCTGTTCTATCTTGAAGAGCATTTAATTTTGATTCGAAACGGTTAACTTTGGTATAAAATTTGAGAAATATTCATTGATTTTCTGTATACACATGTATGCCTTTTGGTTTGCAAAATGCCCCTACCACATACACTTTGAAAACTCATATCTTGAAAACTGCTTGAGATATCGATTTCAAAACTGTTCTATCTTGAAGAGCATTTAATTTTGATTCGAAACGGTTAACTTTGGTATAAAATTTGAGAAATATTCATTGATTTTCTGTATACACATGTATGCCTTTTGGTTTGAAAAATGCTCCTGCCACATAGGTACACTTTGAAGCCTCATATCTTGAAAGCCATTTGAGATATCGATTTCAAACCTGTTCTATCTTGAAGAGCATTCAATTCTGATTCGAAATTGTTAACTTTAGTATAAAATTTGAGAAATATTCATTGATTTCCTGTATACACATGTATGCCTTTTGGTTTGAAAAATGCTCCTGCCACATAGGTACACTTTGAAGCCTCATATCTTGAAAGCCACTTGAGATATCGATTTCAAACCTGTTCTATCTTGAAGATCATTCAATTCTGATTCGAAATTGTTAACTTTAGTATAAAATTTGAGAAATATTCATTGATTTTCTGTATACACATGTATGTCTTTTGGTTTGAAAAATGCTCCTGCCACATAGGTACACTTTGAAGCCTCATATCTTGAAAGCCACTTGAGATATCGATTTCAAACCTGTTCTATCTTGAAGAGCATTTAATTTTGATTCGAAACGGTTAACTTTGGTATAAAATTTGAGAAATATTCATTGATTTTCTGTATACACACGTATGCCTTTTGGTTTGAAAAATGTCCCTGTCACATACACTTTGAAGTCTCATATCTTGAAAACCGCTTGAGATATCGATTTCAAACCTGTTCTATCTTGAAGAGCATTCAATTCTGATTCGAAATTGTTAACTTTAATATAAAATTTGAGAAATATTCATTGATTTTCTGTATACACATGTATGCCTTTTGGTTTGAAAAATGCTCCTGCCACATAGGTACACTTTGAAGCCTCATATCTTGAAAACCACTTAAGATATCGATTTCAAACCTGTTCTATCTTGAAGAGCATTTAATTTTGATTCGAAACGGTTAACTTTGGTATAAAATTTGAGAAATATTCATTGATTTCCTGTATACACATGTATGCCTTTTGGTTTGAAAAATGCTCCTGCCACATAGGTACACTTTGAAGCCTCATATCTTGAAAGCCACTTGAGATATCGATTTCAAACCTATTTTATCTTGAAGAGCATTTAATTTTGATTCGAAACGGTTAACTTTGGTATAAAATTTGAGAAATATTCATTGATTTTCTGTATACACATGTATGCCTTTTGGTTTGAAAAATGCCCCTGCCATATAGGTACACTTTGAAGCCCCATATCTTGAAAACCGCTTGAGATATCGATTTCAAACCTGTTCTATCTTGAAGAGCATTTAATTCTGATTGGAAACTGTTAACTTCAGTATAAAATTTGAGTTAAGAGTGAGTTTGATTGGTTGATTGTTTTAGGTGTTTGCTCCAAGTGTGACAAATCGAAAGAGGTAATTGAAGCTCCGCCCAGTGAAAAGGAACAATTTCAATTGGACGAGGAAATGAAGGAAATGCTCAAATCTTTACCTGAAAGGAAACGACGTACTTTCCTTCGCTACATGAATAAGAGTAAGGAAGAAGAAAAAACTGACCAAAAAGATGATATTTTGAAGAAACTGAATGAGCTGAAAGTTAATGAGGAGGAGGAGGATGATGATGAGGAGGATGATGATGATGATTTTAGTGAATAAAATTTTAATCCAAAATGAGAGTTTTATTTAATAAAAGTCAAAATAATGCGTTTAATAAACTTAAAAATAGCATTCATAAAACCAGTCACAAAATATTATGCCTGAATTTCAAGTGATTGACATGTCACGATCATTTTGACAGATAAACCATTAATTAAACGTTATTTGTCTTAATTGACGTTATCTGTCAAAATGACCAACTAGTCGATCACTATAAATTGGCTATAATGTATTTAAAAAAAGAACTACAAAATAATAAAACATCTTAATTAAATGATTAAAAATGAACAGTTAATAATGGCAAATTGCACCGACCATTTTAAAAGAGGTTTAACGATAATCGACGTTTAAAGTGACATTTTTACCTGCAAAAATCTCATTTTAAACGTTGGTTATCGTTAAACTTCCCTTAAAATGTTCGGTGCAAACGGCCATAAGTGAAAAACTCAATAGATTTGCAATAACTTGAAACTGTCACTTGTCATTTTAAAAATAATCAACGTCACATACATAAATCGTTTCCGATTGATTCAATGTGGGCTAAGAGTATGTCTATCTCTTTCTTTCAGCCTGTAAAAGAAACAGATAGAAATAGATTTTCTCCCAACCGGAAATGCCAATTTAAATAAAAACATGAGTTTTCACAAATAAAAATGTTTACATACAAGGATGCAAGAAATTAGTCACAGGTGACGACAAAAACATCCCAGCACTAGAATTATTAATTCTCGCATTAAGAAAATCTTCGGCCCTGTAAGATTTGGCCATCAAAGAGTTGTAGGCCAGTGACGTCATCGGAATAGGTGAACGATGATTGGGCGAAAAATCGGGCGGGAAAAAAAATTGCGGTTGGAACATGTTGGGCATGATGGGCGTCATGTTGGGCGTCGCGACGCTTATGGGCGAAACATCGGACGATTTTCTTACTAAGTGCTGTTGAGGTACCGTAAGGTACTTGAGGTACGGCAACGGACTGACGATTACCAACTGATGTTTTGGAGAATTTGTAGGCGCTTTCACTTGCAATAATTTGCGCAAATGTTGGTTTTGTAATTCTTCACGACACATTGCTTTTTTCTGAGCAATGAGTAGTTTTAGCTGTTGACGTATGACAGTTATATCTTGAGCGGTTTGTTTGTTGCGACTTATAGCGGTTGCGTCCGCTTTATGTTTGGTCAATGTTGCTATTGCTTCAGCGTTTTCTGTTGCGTGGGCGAACATCAATGCAGTGACACCTAAAAGAAAAAATCTAAAATGTCTGAATAAAGCAGTGTTGCCAATTATTTTTACCTGTATCTAAGGTGGGCCAATTAATATTAAAGTCATTTTGAATCAAAAACTCTAAAATTTCCGGCCGCTTGTAAAGTACCGCCAACGAAATCACAGAAAGACGTCGCTCGATTATTCTTCTTGAAATGCCACCTGTCAAAAAATGCTCCAAAAGATACTTGATCATGTCCAAATTCCCGCTGGCAATGGAAATTTGAAAAACATTCAAACCTATAAAAACCAAAATTAAATATACAACTTGGCAACATTGTATAAAATTTACCGAATCTGTTAGTCAAAGTGCAATTGGCGCCTCGTTGCAACAAAAGTTTCACCGTTTCGAAATGTCCGTTTCGGGCGGCCATCATCAGGGGCGTCCAGCCGCAAAAGTTGGCGGGGTCGACGATGTTTGATTCTTTGTGGAGGTAAGTGGCAACGCCGCCGACGTCGTTTTTTGCCGCCATAAAGTGCAGGGGGGTGTTTAAGTCGTTGTCTATTAGTTTAGGTTGGCGGTCGTAGATGGATTTGATTGGTCTAAAATCATCAGTAATTGTATTAGTGGGGAAAATTATGACATTAGGAAAGTCAGGGGCGTATCATACCACAATTCCAGAGGAAAATAACTCCATTGGAAGTTAACGAAAATCAACTAAATTAGGCATAAATGCACCATCTAACATTTTATTTTTTTTCTGGAAAACTATTTAAGAAAAAATTATGACATTTTCTGGAAAATAAGAAAAAGTCAGGGACGTATCATAGTAAAATTTCAAATTTTTCCAGTGGAAAATAACCCCATTGGTAATTAATGAAAATCAACTAAATTAGACATAAATGCACCATCTAACATTTTATTTTTTTTCTGGAAAACTATTAGGGGAAAATTATGACATTTTGTCGAAAAAAATAAGAAAATCAGGGGCGTATCATAGTAAAATTTTAAATTTTTCCAGTGGAAAATAACACCAGTGAAAATTAATGAATATCAACTAAATTACTAAATTAGGTATAAATGCACCATCCAACATTTTATTTTTTTTCTGGAAAACTATTCAAGGGAAAATTATGACATTTTCTCGAAAAAAATAAGAAAGTCAGGGGCGTATCATAGTGAAATTTCAAATTTTTCCAGTAGAAAATAACATCCTTGAAAATTAATGAAAATCAACTAAATTAGGCATAAATGCACCAACTAACATTTTATTTTTTTTCTGAAAAACTATTGAGGGGAAGATTATGACATTTTCTGGTAAAAAAGAAGAAAGTCAGAGGCGTATCATACTAAAATTTCAAATTTTTCCAGTGAAAAATATCCCCATTGAAAACTAATGAAAATCAATTAAATTAGTCATAAATGCACCATCTAACATTTTTTTTTCTGGAAAACCATTCAGGAGAAAATTACGACATTTTCTGGAAAACAAGAGGAAAGTCAGGGACGTATCATAGTAAAATTTCAAATTTTTCCAGTCAAAAATAGCCCCATTGGAAATTAATGAAAATCAACTAAATTAGGCATAAATGCACTATCTAACATTTTTTTTTTTTTTTTGGAAAACTATTGAGGGGAAAATTTTGAAATTTTCTGGAGAAAAAGAGGAAAATCAGGGGCGTATCATACTAAAATTTTAAATTTTTCCAGTAGAAAATAACACCATTGAAAATTAATGAAAATTAACTAAATTAGGCATAAATGTACCATCTAACATTTTTTTTTTCTGGAAAACCATTCACGAAAAAATTACGACATTTTCTGGAAAATAAGAGGAAAGTCAGGGGCGTATCATAGTAAAATTTTCAAATTTTTCCAGTGGAAAATAACACCTTTGTAAATTAATGAAAATCAACTAAATTAGGCATGAATGCACCATTTAGCATTTTATTTTTTTTCTGAAAAACTATTGAGGGGAAGATTATGACATTTTCTGGTAAAAAAGAAGAAAGTCAGAGGCGTATCATACTAAAATTTCAAATTGTTCCAGTGAAAAATAACCCCATTGAAAATTAATGAAAATCAATTAAATTAGTCATAAATGCACCATCTAACATTTTTTTTTCTGGAAAACCATTCAGGAGAAAATTATGACATTTTCTCGAAAATAAGAGGAAAGTCAGGGGCGTATCATAGTAAAATTTTCAAATTTTTCCAGTCAAAAATAGCCCCATTGGAAATTAATGAAAATCAACTAAATTAGGCATGAATGCACCATTTAGCATTTTATTTTTTTTCTGAAAAACTATTGAGGGGAAGATTATGATATTTTCTGGTAAAAAAGAAGAAAGTCAGAGGCGTATCATACTAAAATTTCAAATTTTTCCAGTGAAAAATATCCCCATTGAAAATTAATGAAAATCAATTAAATTAGTCATAAATGCACCATTTAACATTTTTTTTTCTGGAAAACCATTCAGGAGAAAATTATGACATTTTCTCGAAAATAAGAGGAAAGTCAGAGGCGTATCATACTAAAATTTCAAATTGTTCCAGTGAAAAATAACCCCATTGAAAATTAATGAAAATCAATTAAATTAGTCATAAATGCACCATCTAACATTTTTTTTTTCTGGAAAACCATTCAGGAGAAAATTATGACATTTTCTCGAAAATAAGAGGAAAGTCAGGGGCGTATCATAGTAAAATTTCAAATTTTTCCAGTCAAAAATAACCCCATTGGAAATTAATGAAAATCAACTAAATTAGGCATTGACATTTAAAATTTCAACGGTCAAAAAATATATGCTCTATCAATACTAAAACGACAGGCCTATTTAGCTGAAAAAAAAAGGTGGTATTTTAGGCGTACTATACTATAATGACCTTTGATAGTACATAGTACATAGCCATTCAATTTTAGTACAAATACTATAATTTTAGTACGGTTGGCAAAACTGCTTTTTCTCAGGTTAATGAAGAAAGATATAGAAATGCTTTATCGATTAATGAACTTTCAGATATACAGGGTGTTCCGAAATTAATGCACCAAATTTTTATGGCATATTCTACGTGGAAAATAAATCCTAATTTCCTATATAAACATATGTCCAGAAACACTTCCTTTTCGAGATACAGGGTGTTGAAATTCTAAGAAAAAAACTATTTTTCCATCATAACTTTCAAACCACTTTAGATATGTCATTGAAATTTTGTGCACTGCTTTCAAGCAACAAAAGACATTTTTTGATGTGAAATTATTTTTTTTTTAAATCACCAGATTTTCATAAGAATATTTTTCAAGAAAAAAATGGTGCGCCACTGCTTTTTCCTGAAATAAAAATCATTTTTGAAATTCCCATTCAATTTGAAACAAATTTGATCTCTACACTTTTTTCCGAAAGAAGCAGCGATTTCAAGTAAAAATATAAAGAACCATGTTGATGCATGGCGAAATCGCCAAAATTATGATTAAAATGCTAAACAATAAACACCTGTTTCAAGTTATTTTTGTGACGTCACTGGTATTTTTTTTTTTTTTTCAAATATTTCAGATCAAAAAATGTCATTTGCTGCTTGAGAGCATTGTACAAAATATCAATGGAATATCTAGGGTGGTTTGAAAATTATTTTTTTTTCTTATAATTTCAACACTATCTCAGAAAGGAAGCGTTTCCGGACATATGTTTATATAGGAAACTAGGGCTTATTTTCGATGTAGAACATGCCATACAAATTTGGTGCATTAATGTCGGAAAACCCTGTAAAACAATCAGTCAGCTGACATTTTTAATTCAAAAAATTCGCGGTTTATTTTTTAACTCAAAAATCGTTAAAAATATGAAAATGAACTCTTCATTTCTGAAAATTCCAGTAAAAAAATTGAAAATTCCTAAACAAAAATCTACAAAATGGCGTCTTGTAGTAGGTACTACAACGTGTAACTTACTTGCAATTTGAAGCTAACGAGCTTCGTTTGTTAGAGCCACTTTCACTTTCGTTCATGTTTTTATTTGTTAAATAATTACCACGGAAATATCAAAAATAGAAATTAAAATAAATTGTATAAAACTACGTCTTTATAATGGAGATCAAACGACTGACTGATTCCTAAAGGTTGTTTATGGCAAAGCCAAGACCCTTTTTTTTTTAGGAATTTTTTGTTTGTAATTTTATATTTTATGCAAATAAATATTTGAGATTCTATATGGTAGATGGAACAGGAAGGTACTTGCACAAAATTTGTATTTATGAATTTTCATCATCATGGTTTTCTGGTTGGAAAACTATATGAAAATGTCTTGGTTTTTTTAACTAACTACTGATTTTCAAGATTTTCTCATGTTGTTATTTTTCATCAAAATAATTTGAAATTCTCTTCCTTTTTCCACTCAAAAATTCTACATTCAATTTGCAAATATATCAAGACATATTTAATCTAAAAATGTGCAAGTAGTACCCGGTATCAATTGTAAAGGAAAAGCTTATCAGTAAAAACAACTATAAAATTTAATGATTCACAACTTGCAAATCAGCGCAAAGTTAATCACGCTTTGTTCCTAACAAACGCGCTATTATTTAATTTAAAATGGTACCTAATCGGCTAAAATTGACTCATCCAATACAGAGGTGGTACTATTGTTAAGATTTCACATTTAATATTGAGTTTCTAATATTGGTTTTTAAAAATCAAAATACTGGTTCCCTTTCTTTAATCAACATCTTTGCACTGACTGGTACCAAAAAAAAAAACTTCTCTTAGGCTGATGGTACTCGCGCGGATGATGATAAAAACGAGATTAGGATGCAAATAAAAGATTTAACGGTACTTATGTATGTGGTACCAGTGACGTAGGCTTCAAGTTAATAAGACATTTTTTTAAAAAAGTTTTGTATTTTATTATACGAAGATAAAATGTTGTACATTACATATAGATGCTCTAGAAAGCATAATTATGTAATAATTTGAAAAAAATTCTGTTATAGCTGGTTATTTGACTGTCAACTGTTAAAAGTACTATTAATCGTAGAAGGCTTTGGAAAAAAAAACAGTTGGTATTACTGACAGGGGGTAAATAGGGCGGAACATGAATATATCTCTCCCTGTCTATTACATTTTGAACTGTATTTTTCATATCGTTTCACCGTTTTTATCTTCCTCAAACGAAAAAGCTCATATTTATCTTGGTAGGCTCATTACCGACAACATTGACAGTTAGGTTTTTTTTAAGCCATATACCTACTCGAAAATAATATACCATATTTCCCATGTGAGGATTTTTGAGAATGCCCGATTCATTGGTTGTACTTGCAATGTTGCCAAGATGTCATATTTAGCTTAGTTTTTTCGAATGAAAGTCCCTCTATTACTGAAACCTCTAAATGCCAAACTACCATTAGACTTGGTTTTTGAAATATGGCAACGCAACTTTTTTTGTTATTTATTTGTATCAAGATTATTTGAAAGAGGGAGGTTGTCTAATAATTTTTATGACGTCATCTGTATGCCTAAACGTAATGCAAATCTCCATAAGGCACTCCAGATGCATCATCAAGTAACCTATTATCAGACGTTACCAGGAACCTTGATTTTGTATCTTGTTTCTTTCAAATAGTTTCTTTTACCTTATATTTGTTATTGCTTTTTCAGCCCAAAGACACTGGTAGGAAATATTGTACATTTTTCTAAAGCCTGTTCTAGAATATCTACGCAACCATTTCCGTACATTTCAGTTGTGATACCATATTTCAACAACCAAGTCAAATGGCGGTTTGACGTTTAAAGATTTCACGATATCTTAGAAACAGTAAACTTGGCAACATTGCAAATACGACTTTTGAATTGGGCATTCCATAAAAAAATCCCAAAAATTTCTCAAATGCTTTCTGAACATCATAAATTTTTAACCATTGCAACCATCAGTGTTGAATTTGTGAAATTACACGATATGCTGGTCAAATTACACGTTTTTACACGCTTTCAATTACACGATTTTTACACACGATCTTGGTACTTATTTCGTCAATCCAAGAAGCAAGTATCATATTATTTTTTGTGATTTATGAATTTGGGAAATGGGCTAAGGGCCGAATTTATAGTTGTTCCTTGGCTCTTCCTTGGAGGTCGTGGAGTTTAGAATGGACACTTGCTATTATTTGACAAGTTAGTCATGGCAATTCTAAACGTTCGAGGCTTGCTTGAGGTCTGAGGAAACCTCAAGGAGCGACTATAAATTTGGCCCTAAATCCAGTCAAATCTGAGGGTAAATGCTCCTAACACTACAGTCTAGCCTATCGTCATAAGGCCTGTGTAGTTTAAGCTATTAAGCGCCCCCACCATACCAAAGCACCAGTGATGACGTAGCGTGTCGCTTCTCGTCTTGACGTAAAATGTTTGTACCACAGTTAAATAATATTTTTCATCATTAATGTATATTCTTAACTACGACCGCTGACGCAAACTGCTAACGTTGCTGTTGCCGTTGATGTCGGCAACGGTGCAATAACACCATATGAACTTGATTCCAAAAATCGAGTTCGATAAGCAAGTGTGTATTGTCCTTAGCCATAATGGTAGCAAACAGCTGACGACTTAGTTAATGACATCGACAATGGTTCTATACCATATAACCGCGATTACTGAAAACGAGGCCGATAAGCAATGTATGTATTATCCTTGGGCATAAGGGTAGTCACATGACAGACTCTTTGACAAACAAAAAAGATGATGGAATGGAATGCAAGGGAAGAGAAAACGTCCTATTCATGTCACAATGGGGCCCTGGCTTTAGATTGGAAAGCCGCGAAGCAGAACAAAAACAGAGAAAGTCAAATTTTTCAAATTACACGCAAAATACACGCTTTTTGTTTATGTTCGAAAAATACACGCAGGCCAATCGAAATATACGCAAATCGTGTAATTACACGCTTATTGGCAACACTGGCAACCATACTAAATTCTGGCTTTTGTAATTTGGATCAAAGGTTGTGGTGTAAAAGAAGGAAGTTACCTGATAACTTTTATGACGCCATCTGTTAGCCTAAAGATAATGCAAATCTTCATAAAAACCATCTGATGACGTCATCTGTTTAGCATTATCAGACAAGTTGTACATTACATATAGACGCCCTAGAAAGCATAATTATGTAATAATTAGAAAAAATTTCTGCTATGAAACATCTGACTGTCAACTGTCAAAAGTATTATTTTAATCGTAGAAGGCTTTGGAAATTAAGTCAATAACAACCTGTCAAAACATAAATTCCATATGGCTGCAATAACGGTCAAAAATCTGTGATGTATGTTTGTTTTTTTGTTTATACAATACGAAAATTATTAATCTCAAGCAATAGAAAATCACATATTGAAACTCCACAAATTACACGGAATACAAATCGTCATTGTTTGACCATGGCCGCCATATTGATTGAATTGCCCTATTGTCAAATTCAAAATTCAAAATTGACTCAAACGACAATTATTTCCCGTTCTATAGTCTATTTGTAAATGTGAGGTAGTTTTAAATCAATGTCATAATCGACTAACCATAGGCGTCCCATATATTTTCCGAATAAGTTAATGTATAATACATAAAAAAAAAAGTGTACATGATATATGTTTTGACATAAATCAAACAATATCCATGTTGAATAAAATTCTTATGAGAAACTAGAAATTTAATTTGTCTCCCAGGGATAAATGGATTATAGTTCTGTAATTGGAAAATTGGTATTTTTAACAAGCAAAATTCTGGTATTTTTTCGTACGCTACTGGTTGTTGATCCCCTACCAAGGCAGTGTCCCATCGTTTATGTCCATCAGTTTATAAATTGCGCGTCTCATCGTTGCCGCATTTCACAGTTAATTAAATCGTTAGAGCGTGAAGACTGAAGAAGAGCGAATTTAAGCGGTTTTATTTTAGCTTTTTCTACACGTAAAAATGCTTCGAAAGGTGTTTTTCGTTTGTGTTTTGACGGTGTTCGGAACCAGTGCTGATTTGTTCAGGTAAGAATTTTTGATTTTTTCGATTTTTACAGTTAGTAGTTCTCATTTGGAAGCTACAAAAAAGCTAATTTTTCCAATATTTCTGACAGTATTAGGACATCAACAAATCCTAGTAGGCAATTTTTCTCTAGTGTCATTTTTACCAAGGTTATTTAAAAGAGGGAGGTTGTCTGATAACTTTTATGACGTCATCTGTATGCCTAAACATCCATAAGGCACCCCAGATATGTTATCAAGTTACCCATTACCAAACACCCTATTAAACCTTAAATTTTAACCCCCTTTTGAAATTAATAAATAATAACAAAGAATATCCTTGAAGAAGAGATAACCAAAAATAGCAACAAACTTGAACTATGCCCTTTATTTATTTATTTGCATTTGTTGTTATCGTTACGGTCAATGAAACGAGCCTTCTAGAAAATTAACCGCCGGAAATTATGAATTTTGTATCTGAGAACTAAGAAACCCTATAAATAGAAACTCGTTTTTTTTTTTCAAAGGGCTTGTTCAGGATTTGACAATTTATTGTAAATTGACAGATAATTACAAATTCAAAATGGTCAAAGTCAAGGTTATTGCATTATTTAATATTTTCGTCGTCCAAGGTTGTTTTCAAATTATCATAAATCTCGAAAACAATGGGATTTGTCATCGCCATTATTCACTTTATTCGCTAAACGATATGAAAGAGTTCTAGGAATTTAAAAATCGATTTAGGACCGGTTTATTTATAGTTTAGCTCTTGGTTAATTAATTACCATTAGTTAATTGACAACTAAACTAGACAATCAGCCAATGATAAACCGGTCCTTAGCTTACGGTTACGTCATTGACGGTTACATGTTCCAAATCAAATCCCTGATCGGTTTTTCAGTAACTGTCATTCTGATTCAAATCAACTGTCAGTGTCAAAATCACTTTTTCGGTCTTAAACCGAATTTTCATGACGAATGTAGTTCATCCAAGGACAAACCATAGTTCGTCTTGTGACGTCATGAGTTTGAACTACTACTCCGTGGAACATACGATGATGAGTTCCGAAGTTATCATTTGGGAAAAACCTCGTGGGACACCCTGTATTATGATTAATCAATCACTTGTCAAATGTCGATAATCACATACTGACAGCTGACTTATTTTCTTTCAGTGATTTGCGTCTTTTGTCCGATTCGGCGGAGCCGAACTTTCCAGTGTTCGATTTCGAACGGCCTCAATTTCAAGCCAGACAATCGTCTGAATCTTCCAGCAACAAAGATCGTGAACCACTGGCACCCGACTACAAAGATCCAGTAATAGCAGGTATTGGCGCCATCTATTGACATTTGACACTTGGCCTACTATATTGTCTGATTTTATTGTAGATCCTGATGAAATAAACAAGGACAAACCGGTTTTGAATCCCAAGAAAAAAGACAAGCAAGGTCCTAAATATCCGGTGATTGCCGGTATAGGGGGCGGCATTGTCGACATCGATGCCGGTTCGGATGGGTTGCAGACGTTTTCTAGCCCGTTCGGGCCCGAATTTGAATTTCCCGCCTTGCCGACCGGTTTAGGCAGGCCGGGTAGTGGGTTCGGGTTCGGTGGGTTGTTCGGATTGGACGACGGAAAAAAATGGTGGAAAGGGTAAGTGGATTGTCATAATTTTTTCGATTAAGATGACACTTTTAACAAAAGTTCACATTATTTTTTATTAGAATTTTTTAATTTAGTAATATTCAATATGGCGCCGTTGGCATGACAAACTTGACAACCGTTAAGGTACGTTTACATTCGATTACAATTCAAATTACAATCAATTGGAATTGTAAACGTACCCGGGCCTCATCGGCGCCATATTGTATATTAATAAATTCACCTAACGTCAAAGACTAATCACGTGGAGCCTGTCATTTTTATGCTCGCACAAAATAAACCAAACTCGTCTAGTAACAATAATATTTTCTAACAATTGACATAATTTCCTAAAAATAGAATTTCGTTATTTTCGGTAAGGTTTTATGAGAAAGTTATGGTGACATCATTCCACTTTCTATTGAATGAATGAATCCGTTAATTAAAAATAAACAATAAATGAAAACAAATATTCGATTATACAGGGTTATCAACATTAAATAAGAAAAAAAAACAGTTGGTATCACTGACAGTAGGTGAATAAGGTGGAACATGTATCTCTCCCTGTCTTCTTACATTTGAAGCTGTATTTTCCATAGTAGGCTCATTTTCGACAACTTTGACAGTTAGGTTTTTTTTAAGAGAAATACCTACTAATACCCACTTGAAAATAATGTACTATATTTCCCATCTGAGGGTTTTTGGGAATGCCCGATTCATTGGTTGTATTTGCAATGTTGCCAAAATGCCGTATTCAGCCTGATTTTTTTTTAAAATGAAAATCCTTCTATTACTAAAACCCTTAAATTCCAAACTTTCATTTAACTTGTATTTTGAAATATGACAACACAGCTTTTTTGTATATTGTTTCTTGTACGTGTTTTCAGCATAAGGACACTGGTAGGAAATACATTTTTCTAAAGCCTGTTCTAAAATATCTACAAGACAATTTTCATACATGTCCACTGTGTTGCCATATTTCAACAACCAAGTCAAATGGATGACGTTTAAAGGTTTAATATTATCATAGAAACGGTAAACTTGGCAACATTGCAAATACCACTTTTAAATCAGGCATTCCATAAAAAAATCCCAAAAATTTCTCAAGCGCTTTCTGAACATTACAAATTTTTGACCATATTGAATTTTGGCATTTATGATTTGGATCAAGATTGTGGTTTAAAAGAGGGAGGTTATCTGATAACTACTATAACGTCATCTGTAAGCTTAAAGGTAATTCAAATCACCACCTGATGACGTCATCCTGTTTGCCATACCAGACAAACAATTGAAATATTGTCAATGATATCGGCAACGTTGCCGAAATTTGTTCTAAATGAAGTCTCGATTGAATTCTAATTAGTTAATTCGAATCAGCTGATAATTCAAGATGGCAACGTGGTCATAACAAATTTGACGACTGCGAAAGTGCGTTCACATTCAATTCCAATTGATTGCAACTTTAATAGGGAATTGAATATAAACACGCCTTTACGGTTATCAGGTATGTTATTCCATTCCCACGGCGCCATATTGAATTAGGAGAATGTCAAAATATCCCTGTATCGCGCAATCCCTCTCTCATTTGCACTGCTGACTCGCTGACTCTTTCTTTCTCTCTCACTTGGCCGAACTTGACTCGAGCGTCTCGAGCCAACTGTATCCTACTGAATGAGCGTTAACAATTCGGACGTGACGGCTTATTCTCTATTTAAATAAACTTAGAAGAAAACGGAAATTCAAGAGCCGGGAATAGATAAAAATTGAAACGAAAAAACTGAGAATTACCTAAGAGAAGGAAAATTGGCAATATCGCAAATACCATCATTGAATCGGGCATTCCATAAAAATTCTCAGGTAGAAAATTTTTGTACATTTTTCTTAAGTGCGTCCTAAATTCACAAATTTTTGACCATTACCGCCTCCTGGCATTTGTGGTTTGGATCAAGGTTGTTGTTTAAAAGAGGGAGGTTGCCTGATAACTTTCATGTCGTCATCTATATGCAAATCTTCATAAGAACCACCTGATGACGTCATCTGTCTGCTATTACCAGACAAGCAATTAAAATGTTGCCAATGATATCAGCAACGTCGCCATAATTTGTTCTAAATGAAGTTTCGATTGAATTCTAAATAGGTAATTCGAATCAGCTGATAATTCAAGATGGCAACGTGGTCATAACAAATTTGACGACCATGATGAAGGTGTGTTCACGTTCAATTCCAATTGATTGCAACTTCAATAGGAATTATATATAAACGCACCTTCACAGTTGTCAGGTGTGTTATTTCCACGGTGCCATATTGAATGGAGAGAACGTCATCAAATCCGCCTATCGAGCTATTTCTTTTTCATTTGCACTGCTAACTGTCTCTCTCTCTTTCTTGCTTGGCTGAAGTCGACTCGAGCCGACTGCATCCGACCGAATGAGCGTTAACAATTCGGGCGTGACGATCCATTCTCTATTCAGAGAAACTTAGAAGAAAATGGAAATTCAAAAGCCAAGAATAGACAAAAATTGAGATAGGAAAGCTGAGAATTACCTAAGAGAAGAAATGTTGAAAAATTGAGAAAGAAAATGTGTGCTGCCGTAATTCAAAAACCAAAGTTGAATGTAGATTTGACGTTTAAAGGTTTAACGGTATCTTAGAAACGGTAAAATTGGCAACATTGCAAATACCACTATTGAATCGGGCATTTTCAGAAATTCCGCAGTAGGAAATATTAGCCGTACGACAACCCTCTATAGGGTCATTGACTAAATTTTGATTAATAAGTAACTTTTTTTTTACGTTCTTGACAATGAAATACTTTTTTAAATGGAACACTCCGTATAGTATTACATTTTTGAATTCCTAATTTCTTAATAGAACACCCTCTGTATATTTCAAATAATTGAATCGGGCATTCCCAAAAACCCCCAGGGTACCTATTCTTGAAACCAACATTCTCATGATTGCTCTGTCTTTCTTAATGATAATATGAGTAACAAAGACGGAACACTCGTTTCCATGGGAACGGTGTTTTCTTGTTTCAAGAATAGGGGCCGAATAGGAAATATTAGGCAAGTTCGGTTAATCCGATGACCGGCCCCCACGTGATCAGTTTTATTACTTCAAATGAAAGATCACATGATTGAACATCTGTCAACAGTGTCGTCTTTTAATCGAACTTGCCTATTGTACATTTTTCTTTTGACATTTTAGACAGTTTCCATACATAAAGACAACTCTGTCAAATTGTGGTTATTTTGATATTTTTCAACAAATCGTGCATAAAAATGTCAAAGTAGTTCATGACACTTCTAAATTGAAAATAACGATCTCGCTTTTGATAATAAATTGACAGAATTTCCATAGCCTACTATGATAAAACGATGTTCCATAGCCACCTTTGATGTAAAAAATAGCCCTGTCAAAAATTGAAAAAATTGCACTGTGACGTCATAGAATAGAGTATTGCCATTTCGCATCTTGTATTTCATGTCAACAGTGTCGTCTTTTAATTTGTGGAAGAGCAACCAAACTGGCCTATTGGGTATACTTTGAAGTGTTCTGACCGTTTCCATGCATAACAACCACCCTGTATAATTCTGGTACTTTTGATATTTTTTAACTTCTAAATTGACAGTATTCACAAAGCCACCTATTAAAAAAAAAAACAATATCACTTTTGATAATAAATTTGACAGAATTTCCATAGCCTACTATGATAAAACGATGTTCCATAGCCACCTTTGATGTAAAAAATAGCCCTGTCAAAAATTGAAAAACTTGCACGGTGACGTCATAGAATAGAGTACTGCTATTTCGTATCTTATATTTTCTGTCAATAGTGTCGTCTTTTAATTTGCGGAGGATCAACCGAACTGGCCTATTGGGTACTTTGAAGTGTTCTGAAATATTAGACCGTTTTTATGCATAACGACCACCCTGTATAATGTTGGTAATTTTGATATTTTTCAACTTTTAAATTGACAGTATTCATAAAGCCACCTATTAAAAAAAAACAACAATATCACTTTTGATAATAAATTGACAGAATTTCCATAGCCTACTATGATAAAACGATGTTCCATAGCCACCTTTGATGTAAAAAATAGCCCTGTCAAATATTGAAAAACTTGCACTGTGACGTCATAGAATAGAGTACTGCTATTTCGTATCTTATATTTTCTGTCAATAGTGTCGTCTTTTAATTTCCGGAGGATCAACCGAACTGGCCTATTGGGTACTTTGAAGTGTTCTGAAATATTAGACCGTTTTTGTGCATAACGACCACCCTGTATAATGTTGGTAATTTTGATATTTTTCAACTTTTAAATTGACAGTATTCATAAAGCCAACTATTAAAAAAAAAAAACAAGATCACTTTTGATAATAAATTTGACAGAATTTCCATAGCCTACTATGATAAAACGATGTTCCATAGCCACCTTTGATGTAAAAAAAATCCCTGTGTCAAAAATTGAAAAAATTGCACTGTGACGTCATAGAATAGAGTACTGCTATTTCGCATCTTATATTTTCTGTCAATAGTGTCGTCTTTTAATTTGCGGAGGATCAACCGAACTGCCCTAATGGGTACTTTGAAGTGTTCTGAAATATTAGACCGTTTTTGTGCATAACGACCACCCTGTATAATGTTGGTAATTTTGATATTTTTCAACTTTTAAATTGACAGTATTCATAAAGCCAACTATTAAAAAAAAAAACAAGATCACTTTTGATAATAAATTTGACAGAATTTCCATAGCCTACTATGATAAAACGATGTTCCATAGCCACCTTTGATGTAAAAAATAGCCCTGTCAAAAATTGAAAAACTTGCACTGTGACGTCATAGAATAGAGTACTGCTATTTCGTATCTTATATTTTCTGTCAATAGTGTCGTCTTTTAATTTCCGGAGGATCAACCGAACTGGCCTATTGGGTACTTTGAAGTGTTCTGAAATATTAGACCGTTTTTGTGCATAACGACCACCCTGTATAATGTTGGTAATTTTGATAT